CCTTTTCAATCTCGGGGTTGAAAAACTTCTCCCTGTCCCTTCGGAACGGCTCGTAATCCTGCACGGGGACGACCAGGATGCCTTTCATCGATCGCGCCGGCACGTTCAGGTTGATGTTCCATAAAGCGTCGCTCTTATCCTGTACTATCGTTCTATGCCGCAGGACCCTATCGTAGAGGATGGCCACCTTCCCCGAGTACTGGTTTCGAACCTGCCTGGCCAGCTCTGGGCTAGTGACCATGTCGAACTCCAGAGAGATGTTGTTGATGGCGTAACTGGCCTCATCACTGTTTGGCGTACGGACTACTTTGCTGTAGTCGTTAAACGTGAGCTCGTATTCCAGCCTATCATCCAGCCCGACCTGGTAAAACGGCGTGTGTCCGGCTCCCATACTCTTGGGCGATGGCCTTTTCACCGTCCGAGATCTTGTCTAGCTGGTCTGCCGTGAAGCTGTACCCCACGCGCAACTGAGTCGATTTGCTGATGCCTTGGTACATGTCATTGACGTGTTCTCCCTCGCTTTTCCAGAGGTCCCCGTAGCAGTGAAACACATCGCTGTCGTCGATGCTCAGCACCTCGTTGCCGCTGATGTTGATGGTGGTTTTCTTGATGATGGCCCGACCTACGCTCCGCACGAGCTCGCGTTTGTCGTTGTCGGAGGTCAACGTGATGTTGAACGTCAGTCGAACCGTGCCTGGTACGATGAGGTCATTCTCACCCAGGTTTGGGAATCTAACCAGCAGCGTTTGGTTCTGGTCTATCTTGCTGGGATTGTTGGTGATGGTCACTGACTGGCGCACGGCTCGGACGCCTAGAGGCTCTCTTAATCTTCGGAAAGGATCTAGATTCCTACCATACATTGTTATATAGATAAAATATAAAAGTTTAATATAAATAATGGCTGAAGGCGGTCATGAGGACATCCCGATGGATGATATGTGGGATTATAGTGCCCAGACGTACGGGGAGGAGGAAACCTCGTCCACGCAAGTCAACGAGCTCGTGAAGCAGGCTGCCGCCGAATACTACGACGAGTTGAGGCATAAACACAACGTCGTGCCATTAGGACGAGACTATTCCAGGTTCACTATCGATGAGAACGGCAAGCTGCGATTGAAGGCTCACAGGGACATCAATCTCGTGAACAAACGCACGTGAGAACCGCTTGCCTTATCGACACTCATCAGTCGCCAAAGGGGCAACGGATCTGCGATGCACTAAACCTCATAGATTATCGGCCCAAGCTTCCCCCGAAGGCCGTCCAAGATCTGCAAGCAGCCAGGGCCGAACTCAACGATGAGCCCCAACGTGCCATCGATGAATTGTTGGCCACCTACCATAACAAACCCTTACCCGGGTTCGAATTTACTGTTCGGGAACTGCGGGGGCTGGACAAGGCCATGCAAACCATTCGTGGGTCACTCGTGGACAACACGGCCAAACTGGACGCGATAGATGCCCACATCGCTCGTGAAAAGACCAAACTCGGCGAAATGGAGGACGAGTCTCTGAAAGCCACCATCGAGGAACGAATACATAATTTGGAAGAGGAATGGAGGACCCGGCTGGAAACGGCGTCCTTCCGAGAACAGCTTCAATCCCAGATCAGCCGTGTGCGTGAAATCATTGATAGACGTCAGAGACTGGGTAAAAAAACATCTGAAATCCCTCGGGGAGGCCCTAGCTAAACTCCCTGGTAAGGCCGCCGAAGCCCTGCCCGGCATCCTGGGTAGCATCGTCTCGTGGCTGCTGAGCATGCTGTCGAAAACAGTCACGTGGTTCGGTCAAAACCTGTGGGCAGCCGTTGTCGTAGTGGCGGGTCTGGTGTACGTAGCGACTAAGGAATTTTTAACCAAATGAGACCCAACCCGACCGCGACCCCCGACCACCAGCGCTTTTACGATCGATGTGCAGCTGATTGGACGCCTGCACGTGTGGGGGTTGTGGCTGTGGGTGTGTGGGTTGAACCCTAGGCTCGGGGCCATGTACAGTCCCACGTCAAACACGTAGTCGACTTTAGACCGGCGTATCCCAACACATCTTGGTAGCGTTGGATGGCACCTGGTAGGTCGACCGGGGAGGCTATGGCATCCTCGACGTTGGACACGAACTGTTTCTGCGCGTTCTAAACAGTACCCGTACCAATGATACCGAACGCGTTTGATTCTGAGCTCCCAGCATGGCCAACACTTACGTTCGAATCGAGTCGTTCAAGCGTTCGATGCGATGCCGCACGAGTGAACCCTCTCGACGTGTCCAGCATGAACTTTTTCCAGTCATCCGCGGGCACCTGCTCGAACCTCCAGACTCGGTAATCCTTTGCTGTCATCTAAAACCCTGTAACGGTCATCCCACTCGTTTGTTGTGATGTGATGATACGACCATTCTTTCATCTTCGCTGGCTTCCACGAGGGCATATTGTGAACGATGGGGATGCCCAACCCATGGTTAAGGCCCGGCAAACGCCAATCCGTCTTCTGGTCTAGCTTTAATTCGTTGCAAACGCGTTCGTAGGCCCGTCTCTCGTACGGGTTGTTTACTGTGTCCCATGCTTTGTCCTGTGGGAGCCGGGCGCTGATCTCTTTAAGGATACGCCTGACCTGGTAGTAAACGTGAAACGTGAACACAGACCGACCCAGCGGGCCCAGCCGAGTGTCGCTCAACGTCAAGCCGCTGTCGAGCTGTCGAGCAAGCCCGGGATGCAAAACGTGGCATTGCAGGTGGTGTCTGAATTCGAAGGCGTGGTCAACATCCTGGAGAGTCTACCGGCGAACTCCACGCTGGTCATCCAAGTCTACCTAGGTGAACCACAGCGTGAAGTCAAAGTCGTAAAAGGGGATCAAACTCCGGTGGGGAAACAACACCAGTATCAGGTTTGCACTGTTTACGATGCGGGTGGGTGTCGACTCCACACACTAATCTGCAGGGGTCACCATGACCGTGGAAGACACGATATCACTCACCAAGATCTTCTTACCCGACAACATACACTTCATGGGGTGAAGTGCACCCCTGAGAAGTTATTAGAAAAACAGTTGGAAACTATCTTATGATAGTAATATAACAATGACTAGTCACCGGCCCAACGTCACGCTTAACGACCTAGGAGACACGGAGGGGTTTGATCTGCCCGGCGAGGAAGACGCCTTGTACGTCCTACACTTGAAAGACAAGGTGTATAGGCGGGCGGTAATGGCCGATCATCGACCCAACATCACACTCGGGGACCTAGGAGGTATAGTGGGATTCGATCTGCCGGTGAGGACGGCACCCCGTACGTCCTGTACTTAAAAACGGCGTGTACATACGGTGGCGTCTGGCAGCCTTAAAGGAACCCGAATGGTTGATCAACGTGACCCTCACTGCACCTTACATCTCTTTAAACGAACGTAGACATGTCACCGGAAGTAGGAACAACGGCTTCTTCCTCTTTCATTCCGAGTTATGAAAGGGTGATAGTTTCCCAAATACCAGGTCACCCGGCAACATGTTAGTTTCATCCGTGGAGTCAGAGTTAAGGGCCGACTCACCCGATACCCTACCAGGTCTTATGACTATGACACCAGGCTCCACACTCATCATAGAAGTCGCTCTTGGAGGCGCTATTAAGGAATCAGGCCTGCAACTTTTACCTGGGGTGACAGTACATTTGGACGACACACCGTACTTCCCCACGATTCCCCATACGTTGCCGTATCGTCATACAATTGGGGACAGTTATGTGATGTAAAACGCCAACTGAGACGGAACAAGACCCAACTACACACGGAAAGCACTATGTAAGAAGTACCATAGAGCTTTCAATATCGTGGACGGGGCTGATACTGTCCTTACGACAACCAGCATGGGACTAGGGGCGGCAGGTGTTGGGTTGTTGGCCACCATCGTGGCCGCACCTATAGTGCTAGGCATTGAAATAACAGCTGGGGTTGTAGGGGTGGTAGGGTTGGTGTTTAAGTTTGCATCCCGCAGACTGCATCGTAAAGCTTTGAAACACGACGAGATCAGGGTTCTAGCCGAAGCAAAGCTGAACACGGTAAGTGAGCGTATTTCCACGGCACTCACTGACAGTAAGATCTCAGAGGAGGAATTTCGTTCAATCCTCTCTGAACTCGACAAGTACCGTAAGATGAAACAAGAAATCCGGTCCAAGTCTCGTAAGTCTGCTATCAGCGAAGACGAGAAAAAAAAGTACATAGAACAAGGGGTACGAAAAGCCCAGCAAGCCTTCATTACGAACACCAAAGAGATCATAGGCATTTCACATTAAACTGTTTCATTGAGGTCAACAGGACATAGGGCGATCACAATAGTGCCACGTGATCAGGAAAGTGTCAGTTCGCGGTCATAGTGACCAGGAAGTTAACTGGGGGTTCAAACCTGGTATATACAATAGCGGGGAGAGATAAGGGCCTGACAAAAGCTTTATTTCGTGAATGAAGCTTTACAGAGGCTTTTGTTGGACTTGATCTCGTACCGCTACTGTATATACTACTGACTCAACCCAATAAAAGTACTTGAATCTGTACTTTACTGAGAAAGTGTAATCCCAAATATATATAACGTGTTACATTTGATCACTTTCAAAAAGGTATTGTGTTTTCAAACTATATACTCAGTATATTGTCAGAATTGTTCCATCGACTTTGCTTCTAGCAGAGATTTCTTGCGAATGTGGAAATGGTTTGATCGTTTCTCTTTACATACACTGTATTCATGGGCGACCTCATGGCGTTGAGCAAACAAATTCAACATAGATTTACATGTGTACATACACATGTAGATACAAATGTTAAACGAAGTTATATCAATGTGTCCTTTCGTTACGGCACAGTGTAAATGCTATAATTGACCATATTTACATTGAATTAGGAAACGTCAAATAACTGAAGTAAAAGGTGTGCAATTCATTCGTTGTCTCAACGATACATCTGTTACGTCAATAACCCAGTAGCACGTACGTATGTATACTTCTTTTCTGTTTTAGGCAGCCACCAAAGTCAAGAAAAAAAACCCCCTCCATCTAATCGGGCTGATAATCACAGTGGCCCTAGACCAACCTCATACAAGATTACTATTGCACAAGAGATATCTGACTTCCATTGGTTGATAACAGCGCATGATAACACCCGAACCACACGTAAACTATTTCGACATCCCCACTGTATTTATATCCACACCCACATACGCCGACACATACCGCCACTCACATCTGACTTGGGATATTCTCATAACCAGGAGACAACCGCCACTCACAGCTGACTTCTTCTTCTATCCAGGAGACATGGGGTTTCGTGATGCATCCAAGTTTTCAAGAATTGCTTTCGGGTTGGCGGTAGGAGGGTTTTTAACTGACATTATCGGATTTCCCTCCCCCTACTGGGTGGCAGGGCTAGGTATTTCTTTCGGCCTGTTCCAGTCGTGTAGCCTTGGAGACTGTCAGTCGGGGTCACTTAGCCTGCGTAAGTAAAGTATAATCGTTATACAATGTGAACGTAGACAGTACTTCAATAACTCATCGAACCATTCTAGATACTGTGTTTGACTTGGTACTTTTCAATAACAGCTTATTGAGAAACCTTTTTCTGAATATAACAAAGTTTGGTCAGTAAGAAAATACTGTTTTGTATACATTTTATCGTTAAACAGGGGAATTTGAATATAATTTTCAAAATCACATTTGGATAACAGCTTTGGATAACAGCTTTTATTATATCGAGATCTGTTCGTTACTGTGGAAGTAACGTATCATTCAACATTGTAAACTTGTCCACTAAATTCGTTTCTTCAAGCATGCTTTGTAGTTATGGATCAAAGGGTGAGAACAAATATTTACATAGAAATCGTTTTGCATGGAAATTATAGAAAATATCTTATAATAGTAAGCAGACGGAGGAACAAAATTAACTTCTCAATCAATTTTATCATATGTTTGATATTTAGTGAAAATAATATTTCGTTTGCGATATTATATAAAAAAATAACTACAATGGCATTCAGCACTCAAGAACATACTTCTATACGGATTGATTTTTTTAAATACAAATTGATTTTAAGAAAATGCTGAATATCTTTGAATATGAATACATTTATTGGCACAAACGTACAACATTTCAAACAGAACTTGAAATACACTTGTTCTTACCACAACCTAGACTGGATCAGTTATTTATTATTATCATTATCATCATCATATTATCATTATCATTTAAAAATGATGTTCATTTTGTCTTAACGGCGTTGGATCAATTATTTATTATTACTGCATCAATCATCATCATTATCATCATCATCATCATCATCATATTATCATTATCATTTAAAAATGAAGTTCACAACGGCGTTGAGCCAAACTCAATCATTGACCAAGGCAGCAATGTACACACATTGATGTCAACCACGTGTTTAGAACCAGGCTGGTGGAAGGGAGTCGTTGCGCTGGAGGTCCTTGGATTCCTGGCCTGTCTCGGTAGCTTTGTGCTCATGGTGCTGTACGTACATGTGAAGAACGACCAGAAGATCTTCCAGACTATGGCAACGGGACTGGCTTTTGCTGCAGGTTCGTATCCCCCCCCTGTCTGGAACATTTTACCTTTGGAACGTAATGATTAAACGTATTTAGCTTCATTCTGGTACGACCAATACCATGGAACCATCTATACCATGGATGAGACAGACTGAGTGTATTTCTGGAAGAGGTGCCAGTTACAATTGTCCATCTCCGACAAAATACCAGCCTACACATCTCACTGATCATGGTGTCAACCACGACTTGCTTGGCGTATTTCCAATAAAGCTGGAGCTAGCTACTGAAAAACGAATCACAGTTGAGTTTCTTGAATCAATCAGATTTCAGATTTCAAAATGATTTAGTTTCCTTTCGTTTCCACCTTGAATCGGATCTTTCAATCATAGCGAAAGATATAGAATGCCAAGCTACATATAATCTGCTCCTAAGCAATATATACTGAGTCAAAAAGAAACTTCACATTCTTTCTTCAGGGCACTATAAAAGAACAAGAGATGGTAAGATGGTTAAATTGTTATTATTTCATTGCTGAGATCTGTGTGATGTACTCGATACACTGACAGTGCCATAATCAGTTCCATTAGGCTACACCAACGTTCCAAAACATGGGTATACAGAATGTCAAGTCACAAGAATAAAAATGCGAAATGTCTCAGTTCAATATCGTGTATAGCCGCCCCGCGCATTCACCACTGCCAAACACCGTCTCCTCATCGACTGCCTGATGCTTGTGAACACGTGGTTGGGGATTCTGCGCCATTTCTCTTGCAAGGCAGCGCCAAGTTCCTGCAAATTCTGAGGTTGGTTCCTAAGACCACGAAGCCTTCTCCCAAGTGCATCCCAAACGTGCTCTATTGGATTAAGGTCAGGGGACCTCGATGGCCAGTCCATGACGTTGATTCCAGCGTTTTGAAGGAAATTTCGTGTCAACATTGCGGTATGCGGCCGAGCATTATCATGCTGGAACTGTAGACCTGGGCCATGAGCCGCCATGAAAGGAACGAGTTCAGGGGTGAGCACCTGGTCGCGGTAAGCAGCAGCTGTGAGGTTTCCACGGATGACCAGAAGTCGGGAACGGTTGTTCCCACAGAAAGCAACCCACACCATGCAACTTCCGCCCCCGAATCTGTCGACTTCCTGTACACAACATTGGGCATACCGTTCACGACGTCGTCTCCAGACTCTATGCCTGCCGTCCGCGAATCTGAGGGTAAACCTGGATTCATCGCTAAAGACGACTCGATTCCAGTCTCTCTGGGTCCATCGGAGGTGACGTTGGGCCCACAGCAGATGTTGACGTTGATGAAATGGCGTCAATATTGGGCAACGATATGGACGTCGAGGATGGAGATTGGCAGCCCGCAACCGATTTCGAATGGTCTGTGAGGACAGTCGACCTCTAAACATCTCAGCCCTGGTTCGTGTAGCCGGCAGAAATCTGTCACGTAGGTGATGTAGGACGATTTGACGGTCTTCTGCTCGCGACGTCACACGTGGACGACCCGACCTTGGGCGATCAGAAGTGGTGCCTGTTTGTTGTAGACGACCTCGCAAGTCATACACAGTACGACGGCTACATCCCATTGCTCTTGCGACGTCAATAACTGATCTTCCCGCTTGCAACATGCAAACGGCACGTTCACGTTGCACATTTGACAATCGTGGCATTTCAAGTACCGTTAGAACTGTGGTTTAAAAGTGTTTTTTCAATTCTCGAGGTTAATGCAAACACGTGCATATGAAGAAAACTTCGATGCGAAGATCACGTGATTGACTGCACGTGCAAAACCTGATTTGGCACTAACGTCATTTGCACGACGACTGGATGGGTTTGAGTTGGTTTTGCTCACGTTTTTCTAGAGTCGAAAGATAGGGATCCCATTTCGGATACATAGATGTATCATCAGAGAAATATTATTCATTATTTTCAAATGACATTTTGTGAAGTTTCTTTTTGACTCAGTATAATTAGTTGTTTGGTTGTATACCAATGTAGATATTTTAGAATCCTAGGATTCTGGGTTTGAATCCCGGTCCGCCTCAGTAATGGTTCTAGGTTTGTCAGCACCATGCGAGTGCTCGTGAGATTCTCCCAAAGGATAAACGTCTGAGAACTGCTTCACTTTGGACCTTCCTCCCACAGAAACTTACTCACTCACTCACCTTTCAGCTGGGCTCATCCTCATCGGAATCATCATCTTCGGCGCTGAAATGTCGGGCGCTGGATTGTTGGGCGCTTCTTTCGGCTGGTCTTTTGGACTGACAATCATTTCAGGCCTTTTCCATATTGGCGTCGGTGTCCTTAACGTAGTCGACAAAGCTTCCTCCTGAAACTGTATTTCCAATGTATCATATATATAATATACATATGTAAGATAAATGCACCCCATCCTCAATGTCATAATTTATCTACAGTCAATAAAACGAAGTTTGTAACTGGATTGAAAAACTGTTCATGGATTGTCTTTTCCTCAGGAAGTTGAGATTGATAATATGATGTGCCGCTGAGATTGACATCCAATGATCGAGGGAAAAACAAAAGAAGGGTTTTGAGCATGCAAATGTGGGATGGACTATAGCGCTTTATAATATTCTATAATATAGTATAACGTTTAGTTAACTGCAGCGTGTTTGTATATTTGTGTTCAGGCTTCGCCATCATAAAATGAATGTGAATGTGATGCTACTGTTATGATGGGTTGTTAATGGTGAAATTTAATTTGCATTTATTGTCATTCCATTAAACCCCTAATCATCATTTAAGGGAGCACGGTGGGAAGGGCGGGATGATGAGTTGTTTGTCGTTGAGGTGCAGCCTGTGAAGAACCGGGTTAGAGTTGGTCTTTAGCAACCCATACTTGTCTTAAGCGACGGCTAACTTGTTGACACATGTCATCGTATCCCAAATACGAAAATCGATGCTCATTATGTTGATCACTGGATTGTCTGGTCCAGACTCGACTGTTACAGACCGCCGCTATATAACTGAAATATTGCTGAGTGTTGCGTTAAACAACAAACAAACTAACCAACAATCTATATAATTCATTTCTCCAAGTGTGACGTTTCTTGTTTTGATCAGTATACACTCACATCAGCCGCCCACGAATCACTGAAGGCATTACGACAGCCTAGGACTAGCGTCAAAAGTACCTGTTCATAACTGGAATTATACACATGAAAGTAATCATGTGTAAAATCTTTGATTTTGCCTGATTTCAAACCGATATTTTTGCATGAAAATGGGGTATGACATTCCCTGACCTTTTTTTGTCCAAAAAACCCGTTTCAACAATGTTTTAGACCTTGAGTGCAACATTATACTGAGGTTCAAAGATTTAGAACCATGTTTAATTGTTCCAGTATATAAGAAAGGAAGCCATGCTGACCCTGACGATTATCGTGGTATTAGTGTCTTGAACATCATGGGAAAATTATTTACAACTACTATCGATTCGCGTTTCAAATTATGGCTCGAGCTGCAGCATGTTTTATCTGAATCTCAAGCTGGATTTCGTGAACATTATTCCACAACAGATAATATGTTCATTCTTTTCAGTTTAGTCAATAAATATATAAGGAAGAAAGGCGGAAAATTCTTTTGTATGTTTGTCGACTTTAAAAAAGGCTTTCGACTTGACTGATAGAGTGAAATTAATGTACATTCTTCTGCGTCAACAAATTCATGGACGAATGTATTCTGTTATCAACAATATATATGATAAACGTGAAAGCGTGTGTAAGAACTGACACTTGTACCTTTACTAATGTCTTCACGTCGTCAGCTGGTGTCCGTCAGGGCTGCATGTTGTCCCCAGTATTGTTTCTCGTGTATCGATGAGCTAGTCCAAACTATTAGTGCCGAAGACACACATGGAATATATATTGATAGTGATATAGAAGAGATTTTCCTTCTACTGTTAGCTGACTCCGTTATTAATCTACAACGTAAAATTGATATCTTAGCACGTTATTGTGTGAAATGGGGACTGACTGTTAATACAAAGTAAAATGAAAAAAGTAAAATCATGGTTTTTAAAAATGGGGTAGACCTTGAAGTCGTCTCCCATTATAAATATCTTGGTATAGTATTTTCTTGTAGGAACAATTTTTCTAAAGCATGTTATTCTTTAGCAAAAACAGGAAGATTAAGCCCTAGGCCCTATTCGTAAAATGTTTCATCGTTTTCCTGATTTATCAATAGACACATTCTTCAGTATGCTTGACAGTAAAATCTTACCTATTCTACATAACTGTGCGGAAATCTGGGAAGTGTGCCAGCAAACCAGTTGAATGAGTCCTTACCAAGTTTTGCAAATACATTTTAAAAGTTAGTCACAGAACTTCAAATACAGCTGCTCTGGGAGAGTGTGGGCGTACCCCATTGTATGTAAACATTTATACGCGTGTCATTAAATACTGGTTTAAAATTATAAGAATGCCTGAAAATAGATATGTTACACATTGTTATGCTATGGTGAAAAAATTTGATGTTCAAGGTTATGCAAATTGGGTGTCTTGTGTTTGCCACATCCTATTTTCACATGGCTTTGCTTGTGTTTGGCTAGCACATGGTGTTGGAATTGTTGATAATTTTATTATTGTATTTAAGCAGCTGTTGAAAGATGTATGTATGCAGGATTGGAGTGCACGTCTACATGAATCCTCATCGTTATCTTCTTATTGTACATTACAAACCATCCTTCAGCCAGAGCCTTATTTGTATCTCGTTAAATCTGCTAAATTTCGCTGCGCATCAACCGATGTTAATATCCAAGCGTCTAGACGCAGCGTTTCTGCTGGTTCCGCAATTCTGTAAACGGACGTAATCTGTCCCTTCTGTAATGATGGTTTTGAAGACGAATATCATACATTAGAGAGAAGTATATACCACCTTACTATTTTACATACCACTCTAAACATAAATTTACACAACTGATGTCCTGCCAAGATAAATCTGTATTGTTTAATACTGCTATCTATCTCACCACAATGTTTACACTCCGAAACTATGAACGGGCGCTCATGTCATTATGATTTTCCCATACTAAGCACGTCATTGTACTATAGGCTCAACGGCCATTATCTACGAAAATAAAGAGTCTGGGAGTATTATGCACCTTGACCTGTGCGATTTCGAACAATTGTGAAAGCGTTGTTATCGCCGTCATCACGTGTTTCCTACAGGCTCTATCACAAGAATGTTCAAGTTCCCCACGTTGCTGTCCTGCAAACTGTACCCACTGTTATCTCCATTGTATAGGGTGTGGGTGCTGTTACAAGGGTCCTCAATCGGTACTGTATCAGTTGCTCACGTGGATGATTAGACACACACACTTATCCCTGCACTGATTTCCCTTCAACGGGTGGGTGATACGGTGGCGAGCCTAACGGTTAAAACTTTCGCTCGTCACGCCGAAAACCCGGGGTTCGATTCCCCGCATTGGGGAATGTATGAATGTACGAATCCAACTTCGCAAGAAGTGTCGTTATAAGGCTGAAAAAATGCTGATTCGACGTAAAATCTCAACCCACTCACCCACGTGACCTTTCAAGAATTATCCAGACCAGGGATATACATCGAGTTTGGATCACGTGATTACAATCCGGGTATGAGTCAGGTCAACATGTAGAAACGCTACTTCTTGGAATGCGCGCTTTGCAATGTTGGCCATTAGTTAACTACTTCAAGCAACAAGTGTGTGAGTGAGTTTAGTTTTACGCCACACTCAGCAATATTCCAGCTATATGGCGCCGGTCTGTAAATAATCGAGTCTGGACCAGACAATCCTGGGGCTCAACAGCATGAACATCGATCTACGCAATTGGGATACGATGACAGCAACAAGCCCAGAACATATCTAGAGACATATACGATAACGCCAAAGACCATCCACCGCGTTATCCGAGCTGGGCAAACATTGGCAGACTACTGGATCGAGGAGACTCCATGTACTTGTCATTGGGAGATTGAACCGGAACATGCACTTGTTGGTGTAAACAATCACTGTCATCATGTTCTGCTGTTTATCCTGTTACACCAAGTCCTCCTTTGTCCTTAGCCATCCATTATCACCAGATACCTCTTCTCTGTATTTCTGTAATCATTTTATTTCCGAGTGTCAGATTTCAATCCCCTTACTACAAAAGGTGGAATGAAATGACTCACAGAATGAAGTCGCATATACAGATATGACTTGTAACAATCATCTGACAATTAGAAGAGACCACCATTGTCATCAGAGGTTCGTGTTCAATCTTTTCATCTCAAACAATGTCACTATTTGGCACAGAGCTCCAGATTTCATACGACGATTTGAAGTGACTATTTCAGGAGAAAATATAACACAGCTGAGTCCAAAATATCACAATATCGAGGCGCAACTGGGGACACCACAAGCCAGACAAAATACTACCAGCTCTTGAACACGACGCCTAATGGTGTTGCTGGTGGGGCTAGCAGATTGAGGCAAACTAGAGCGTCAAGGCCAAGGCAGAGCGGCTTTATGGTTGTTCTGGACGTAGGCTGTCGGTGTGCCATGGGAACAGGGGGTTATGACGTTATCATCAAATTAAGGTCTTTTAGCGAGCAGGCGCTTTTCTGATTTTTGGTTGGCTGGTTTGTTTAACGCTGCACTCAGCAAAATTCCATCTATATAGCGGCCGTCTGTAAATAATCGAGTGTGGGACAGACAATACAGTGATCAACAGCATGAGCGTCGATCTACGCAATTGGGATACGATGGCATGTGTCAAACAAGTCAGCAAGCCTGACCACCCATTGGTTACTGAAGACCCTTTCTAACCCGGATCTTCGCAGAATGGGACACAAAAATTGGTATCATGACTTGTGTTGTACCTGTGCTCACCTGCTGTACCATTACCTATGAGGTAGTCTGTCTCACAGTCTATTATTTTCTAACCCAAAATTTATTCTAGATATATTGGGTGAGTACGGTTTCATGTTGCTCATAACAACATAAGGGCTGGGAAAATCGGCTTACAACACTGTACCAATGAGGGGAATTGAACCTCAGTATCCCATGTGGTGAGCTTTTGCTTGAACCACTTGGCTACCTCACTTCCCCTAGAAGAAGAAGTCAAATCAACAGGTGTATCTTTATTAATAAAAGCATAGTATTACAAATAAGTAGGACAGTGTATTTACAGCTCATAACATGACGTAAGTCACCTACCATCTGCTATCTGTTAAAGATTTCCTAGGTGGAGCTATTAGTCAAGGATAATACTTCAACCACCTGATAACAATGCTCTGACTGTTACTGGAAAAGAAAACAGGATGTTCACAGAATAGAATCTGGGAGAAAGAAATGAAACACTCAATGTCCCAACACTTGCCTCTTGTCCTGGTAACATTGGAAGCTGGTTAAAACACACACTTCATAGCTTAAAAATGAATCATTCTGGACAAGATAAACAATGGAAAACTTCCATGAAGTAAATGAAAACAAAACATGGTGGCTCCTGACTGGTGAAGTGATCACCACACAGATGTAAGATCAACATGTTATTAACAGTTCACATAAAAACACTGTACACGGATAAACATATTACCATATTCAACACAATTGGTGCTCTCCTTTATTACAATTTCTCAGGAAATGTATTATTTGGAGAATGAATAATGAGTGTTACTTGAATCAGGTACTTGTTAAGTGAACGACACAGGATGGTCAACGGCAGCAGAGGTTGAGTGTGAAACCATCTGAAGACAATCCCAGCTAATATGTGAATGAATATTGTCACTGAGACACTTGCTGTCCACAGTGGAGATTTCTTGAGTCCCTGAACCAGGCTTAATGCCGCTTATTCCACGTATATCCTGGCATATCAGCTTTATGTGGTGGTAGGCTAGCCTGAAAGGACACAGGTCTTCGACATTCACCACTTTGTTCAAATGCATATGGTGCAAGGAAAACTGGAAACACTATCGGGATGAACTGGAACTTGAATCATCAATCACTGGCTCCTGGCATGCATAAGGGATGCAACTCTGCATAACACATTTTCGTATCTTGCAGTGAGTTGATGTTGTAGTTAGCTCATATGTATTTGACAAATGCATGCGCAGGTAAGTCACTTGCATTAGGTTGAATATGGTGATACCAAGAGACTAGAGTCTGGCAGAAGTGGCAATAACACAGGGTTAAACAGGCACAAAGAAAATCATGTACATTATTAGAAATGGTTCAACTGGTTAAAGGTATGTACAAGAAATAAAACAATAATGTTAGCCTTGTACTATTTTTTACATTATCAACATGATTACATTTCTTGGTGAGGTTAGAACTAAATTCATCTTCCTCCAATCACCTTATTGATATTTGGTAAACCTGGATACCAGTCTCTTAGAATCGGTACTCCAGGGCTAGGACTATGAAGAAAACAGCCAATATATCGGTCTTTCCATGGCCCGTTGTAGTTCTGTCTATCCCTGGGAACATAAGTTGTTTTTCTCTCAGTCAAAGGGACTTTGAGTTATACTATTCACACTTTGCTAAGGATCAAATCATGGATTCAACAGAAAAACTATGATGTGGGGTCAAATTTGGTTTAATTATCTAAGCTTATTGTAAGCATGGATCCTAGGTTTCAGTATGTCATTGCATCTTTTGGATCCCATACCTGCTATTGACAGGTGTTGTTGACTCGTTCCATGATTTGCAAAATGGTTGATTGGTGCCATGAAAACCATTTTAAAGGTCAGTCATGTATCAAGTGCATATGGTTAGATTAAAGTGACTATTTGCCTAAAGAGGGGTTACCATATTAACATTTATCCAGTTTGAAATGGATACAATTTCAAACTATGAATCTACGTTTAAGTAAAGCTGTGAATTTTGGTGATCCTTAGCAAAGTGTGAGTAGTATACTATTTTCTGATTGTCCAGGGATCATGAATTGAGAATTCTATCAATCTCAGGACCATATGTTAATATGTTTGTCTTTCCCAGGGAGTTAGATCATAATGACATCTGTCACCGAGAGAGTTTATTGGCTACATCTAACATGTCGGTTTGTATAGGTGCAAGACAGCTGTAGCAAACACAAGCTCTTGCCATAACCAAACAGCTATTCTTCTTGCAGATCATGAAGGAAAGCATACATCAACATCACAATGTGGAGATTTCCTTGTAATAAATAACACTATATAAAGGTGTTTCATATCTGGCAAATATATTATATTCTAGTGTATATATTGAGCAGTTATGTTTGATGACAGACAGACCAGGTAAGCCCCTGGCTAACCACACATTTACTACTTGCTAAAAGCTAGGAGTTGTAACTTTTCAGGAAATGTGATGCAAATTCACATATCACCAGCATACAGTGCAGCGACGTGATGCATAAGAATACAATAATTTCATGAAGCCACACTTGATGAAGAAACTCTGTAACCATGGTAACATATGCAGCAACAAATGTAAGTGTGACTGAACCTAACTGCCTAGCACAAGCAGTGCCATTACACATGAACATGCTTCTAATGACAGAGATAAAGGTCCACTTTCTCCTTCATACCTGCTGCTAAAAATAATACTGATAAGAAGCCAACAAGACCCGCCCCAACCAGCATGGAAACATACTTAGCATGAAAGAGTGAGAAAGCAAATTAAATATACATTAGATGTGTACGTGCAGATTATCTGCTGTAAACGATGAGCTGCAACTGTCAGCACATCAGATACAATTTCAGGTCTCCATCATATAGTGAGGGATGTTACACATGTACAACAGAAACTTATATACATTATCATGACCATACACCCAACTACATACAGAGTAACGCTGAAGACATCTGTAAACTGTTGCATTACCATCTGTCTCTATAGATGGAATCATTTACACTGTTACCATGGTAATAGCACAGGCCAGTGGGTGGACTCAACAAGGATAAAATATGTCACTTTCAGCAATATTCCACCAATATCACGGCTGGGGACACCAGGGATGGGCTTCACCCATTGTACCCATTAGAATAGGAAGTCAAACCCGGGTCTTTGGTGTGATGAGCGAACGCTTTGGCCACTAGGCTACCCCACTGCCCCACATTTCAATGTAAAGTGTGACAGTACACTACACAGCATGTGACCACTTCATAGTCTGTGAGCTTCCTGCTGGTTTTCTTGGCAGGTCTTCCATGTTGTGTCCACCATTACTCCTACATGTATCCATACACCATGGTTCCAGTATCATGTCCGCTGGGCAGATATCCTACTGACTGTGGCATTACCACTCTGCAACCTACTCGACAAGCAACTAGTCCACAGCCCATTGCAGTTTAGTTGTGTATGCGTCACGACCAGACATGGGAAGAAAACAAGCACTCCTATTGTCATGGTCATGTTTAACACCACAAATGGATAGATTCCCCAAGAGTTCAATATTCAGTTGAAGCTAGTCGCGGGTTATCTGGTGAAGGAAGTGAAGTTGTTACGACACATGGCAGCATAATACTGTAATGGCCTGTAGACATGGAGAGAATAGAATATCTGCTTATTTTCAGACAAACGGAATCCAACAGCTGACTATTAATTGACCTAAAATAGCATTCATATGCCGGTTCAATCTTGGACTCTGGGTATATACTATTTGAATGCCATTTGTATGTCTGAATCAGCAGATAATTAAAAAATGTAAACTTGAATTACATCTAAAAATAGATGAGATTCAACCACATCATGACATGTTGCATATTGAATATACAGGTAAAATATGAAGACCCCCTAATGAATGGTTGCATCATAAGTTCAGTATATGATTCCTCTTCCTCCTGCTGTTGCTGCTGATGATTATGTAGTCGTTGTTGGTGGTGGGGTTGCTGAAGTTGTTGTTGTTGGTGGTGATGGGGGTGGTGATGTTGTTGGTGCTGCTGCTGATGTTGGTGATGCTGCTGCAAGCTAGCTCTGCTCCCCCTCACTCTCTTCATATAGAGGTTCCAGCGGGTCGCCAGTGATCAGTAGGCCTCTCTCATACAGGTCCCGGGCAATGTCAATCTGGAAGTAACACAAACTGTCAGTAACGGCAGATACACCTCCAGATGTGGTCAGTACATCATATGTCCTGGAATGGGAATGGTGGCTGTGAAACTGGATGTTGTCAGCAATGTCAACAAGCCAACATGGTGACTGTGGTCTATATATCAGTTAAATATTACGTCATGACAAGCATTAATCAAGGACATCTTTGTTCCAGAAATGTTAGAATAATACATGTAGGCCTAAACTGTGTGGTGGTGTGTGGGTCTTGTGAACAGAGCCAACGTCACAAATCAGTTGAATATAAACAATGTTGGCCACGGAGAGTCTTTGACGACCATGTTTGGCAGCTTGTGACTTTTTTCCTATGATATTTTTTCCTACAACCCAATGAAACACTTGTGATACGTGGTCTCACCTTAGGCAAGAGCTGCCTGTGTTCAGCCAGCAGTGAATGAGTACCCCGTGGCATAAGTCATATGACTGTTAACCTCCTAGCACCTGACAGGCACCTTGGGTTAACCGTGGTAATCATGTCTTAGTGCTTTGAGCATGCACAAGTGCATGGGGACAGGGTGCTGTATACTGTCTACTATTATCACTATCATAAACTCATTTTTATTACAAAGAAAATATTCTACCAGATGAAAATTGGTATCCAATCAATCCAAATTCAATCACCTAAATTCCTAAAGTACATACTATTCAGTGATTAGTGCTTTGCTGAAACAAAAAAGGGAACATACTCGGTCCTGAAGGTTGTCGAGCGGTAGACTGTCGATGGCGATATATTCGGGATATGCATGGATGAGGTATTCCACCGCTGGGGCAGCCTTGTAATGAAAGAAAATATCTTAAAATTGAATAAACTGATCAATTTTCATAAATAGGTGTACTCACATTCAACTATTCAAGTTGTGTCAACATTGAACAATCCAAATACAGCACCTGTACTGCCCACATTCACACCTCCATGTACTGCCCACATTCAGCCATCCAAGTACTGCCCACATTCACACCTCCAAGTACTGCCCACATTCAGCCATTCAAGTACTGCCCACATTCAGCCATTCAAGTACTGCCCACATTCACACCTCCAAGTACTGCCCACATTCACACCTCCAAGTACTGCCCACATTCAGCCATTCAAGTACTGCCCACATTCACACCTCCAAGTACTGCCCACATTCAGCCATTCAAGTACTGCCCACATTCAGCCTTCCAAGGACTGCCCACATTCAGCCTTCCAAGTACTGCCCACATTCACACCTCCAAGTACTGCCCACATTCAGCTATCCAAGTACTGCCCACATTCAGCCATTCAAGTACTGCCCACATTCAGCATTCCAAGTACTGCCCACATTCACACCTCCAAGTACTGCCCACATTCAGCCATCCAAGTACTGCCCACATTCACACCTCCAAGTACTGCCCACATTCAGCCATCCAAGTACTGCCCACATTCAGCCATCCAAGTACTGCCCACATTCAGCCATTCAAGTACTGCCCACATTCAGCCTTCCAAGGACTGCCCACATTCAGCCTTCCAAGTACTGCCCACATTCAGCCATCCAAGTACTGCCCATTCATTCACACATTCAGCCTTCCAAGTACTGCCCACATTCAGCCTTCCAAGTACTGCCCACATTCACACCTCCAAGTACTGCCCACATTCAGCCATCCAAGTACTGCCCACATTCAGACATCCAAGTACTGCCCACATTCAGCCTTCCAAGTACTGCCCACATTCAGACATCCAAGTACTGCATATTCCACTTCATCAACATTACCTCTGCAAGAATCTCTATGAACTGTGGCTCGTTTCCATGGTAGACACGGCTGTTTTCAAGGCAGTGGTAGATTCGAACCTGGTCCTCTTCTGTCACCAGTCTTCAATGTAAAACACAACATATCAAGGACTGATCTGTTATGGTAGATTCAAACACAGGCCCAAAATACAATGAGAGTTAGTGAGTGAGTGAGTTTAGTCTTACACTGCTTTTAGCAATATTCCAGCAATATCAAGGCGGAGGACACCAGAAATTGACTTCACTCATTGTACCCATGTCGGGAATTGAACCCACGTCTTCGGCATCATGAGCGAACATTTCAACCACTAGGCTACCCCATCACTGTTGGACATTAAAACAAAGGTTTCTCCATTAGCGAAGAAGCAAAGACATCAGAAACATTTACTCAGCCCCGCTGCCCAAGGACAAATCCACACTATCATGAACTAATCCACACTATCATGAACTAATCCACACTATCATGAACTAATCCACACTATCATGAACTAATCCACACTATCATGAACTAATCATGAACTAATCAACACTATCATGAACTAATCAACACTATCATGAACTAATCAACACTATCATGAACTAATCCACACTATCATGAACTAATTCATACTATCATGAACTAATCCACACCATCATGAACTAATCAACACTATCATGAACTAATCAACACTATCATGAACTAATCAACACTATCATGAACTACATCTGTAAATGGAATCTGACCTGATGACGCCTCTGCGAATGATCTTGATGTGTGTATCAGGGTCAAGCTCCACGGTACACACGACACGCTGCTGCCCCTTGTCCCATCGCTCGCCAGTTCCATGGATGCTGCACGCCTTTTCCTCTGCCAAGAGAACTCGTGTTTCACAATACATGTTGACAGAATGTCAGGGGTGAAACCAAACAAAGTTGTATTTAAGTTAATGTTTGTAAGCAAATGAAAGGAGTTTCATCATCATAGCATAATGACAACTTCACCAACAGTCCCACACCTAAAACATGTCTTTTGTGCTAATAATATTTGTATGGAAGGACAGGTTTGGGGCCGTAACACTAAAAGTGTTATTGTATCATGGTCATGGTAAGGAAGTCTGTATGTAATTACAGACCCATCAAACACTGAAACCAGACCAGAGGAGCTACAAGTGGGATACAATGACACAAGGACCAACAACTGACCATCTCAGTGTCACAAGTCAATACGGTAGTTATCATCAGTTTTCAAGATATTGGCTTGGCGAACTCTGAGAGCTGGTCTCCAATGGTGGTGATCTATTATAGTCAACATGACGGATGGGTCAAGGGGGCAATATTATGTTTTGTCATGTCAAAAGTTTGTTAGCTTATACATGACAGATGGGTCAAGGGGGCAATATTATGTTTTGTCATGTCAAAAGTTTGTTAGCTTTCACATGACAGATGGGTCAAGGGGGCAATGTTATGTTTTGTCATGTCAAATGTTTGTTAGCTTTCACATGACAGATGGGTCAAGGGGGCAATATTATGTTTTGTCATGTCAAATGTTTGTTAGCTTTCACATGACAGATGGATGTCAAGGGGCAATATTATGTTTTGTCATGTCAAAAGTTTGTTAGCTTTCACATGACGGATGGGTCAAGGGGCAATATTATGTTTTGTCATGTCAAAAGTTGGTTAGCTTATACATGACAGATGGGTCAAGGGGCAATATTATGTTTTGTCATGTCAAAAGTTTGTTAGCTTATACATGACAGATGGGTCAAGGGGCAATATTATGTTTTGTCATGTCAAAAGTTTGTTAGCTTATACATGACGGATGGGTCAAGGGGGCAATATTATGTTTTGTCATGTCAAAAGTTTGTTAGCTTATACATGACAGATGGGTCAAGGGGGCAATATTATGTTTTGTCATGTCAAAAGTTTGTTAGCTTATACATGACAGATGGGTCAAGGGGGCAATATTATGTTTTGTCATGTCAAAAGTTTGTTAGCTTTCACATGACAGATGGGTCAAGGGGGCAATATTATGTTTTGTCATGTCAAATGTTTGTTAGCTTATACATGACAGATGGGTCAAGGGGGCAATATTATGTTTTGTCATGTCAAAAGTTTGTTAGCTTATACATGACGGATGGGTCAAGGGGGCAATATTATGTTTTGTCATGTCAAATGTTTGTTAGCTTTCACATGACAGATGAGTCAAGGGGGCAATATTATGTTTTGTCATGTCAAATGTTGGTTAGCTTATACATGACAGATGGGTCAAGGGGGCAATATTATGTTTTGTCATGTCAAATGTTTGTTAGCTTTCACATGACAGATGGGTCAAGGGGACAATATTATGTTTTGTCATGTCAAATGTTTGTTAGCTTATACATGACAGATGGATCAATATTATGTTTTGTCATGTCAAAAGTTTGTTAGCTTTCACATGACAGATGGGTCAAGGGGGCAATATTATGTTTTGTCATGTCAAATGTTTGTTAGCTTATACATGACAGATGGGTCAAGGGGCAATATTATGTTTTGTCATGTCAAATGTTTGTTAGCTTTCACATGACAGATGGGTCAAGGGGCAATATTATGTTTTGTCATGTCAAATGTTTGTTAGCTTTCACATGACAGATGGGTCAAGGGGGGCAATATTATGTTTTGTCATGTCAAATGTTTGTTAGCTTTCACATGACAGATGGGTCAAGGGGGCAATATTATGTTTTGTCATGTCAAAAGTTTGTTAGCTTTCACATGACAGATGGGTCAAGGGGGCAATATTATGTTTTGTCATGTCCAGATGGGTCAAGGGGCAATATTATGTTTTGTCATGTCAAAAGTTTGTTAGCTTATACATGACGGATGGGTCAAGGGGCAATATTATGTTTTGTCACCCTTCTGTGATCTCCGGCGTATATTATCGTGATATCATTCCGTTCGCTGGCGGTTCGAAAATCATTTATCGTCTTTTGCCGTTCCCCGCAGAGTTCAGTCCAGTCAAATATTTTGGATTTCCAGAGGAAAGCATACCAGCCAGCGAAAGAGTAGCTTCACGCTGCGGGAAAACCGCGAATTGAAATGGTGTTTTCGGTGAGGAGCAGCATCGCGGCAGTCCTGAGTCCTGAATGATGGATAACGCGTTTTGCACAACCAGTATACTCCAAAGTTCGGTAATGAAGAAAGCCCCAGTGGGTGAGCACGTTCGCTGCGATACCAGTCGATAAAATTCCTCATGGGTTACCCACCAGCAGGTGCCGAAAAGGAATGCCCTCGGCGTTGCTGGCGAAGAAAATGCATTCCGTGTTCGTTCTTCATCTTCGCGTTATTCCGTTCTTTCTGTTTTGAATGTCCATTGCGTGCAGCCACCGTGAGTACGCCGAAGCGAAATTTTGCATATATTCTTCGCCGTACGCACCATCGATTCCTGTTTACCATGGCCCCAGTTCTTGATCGAGTTTGCCATCGGCGAAATTTCGCAGTCCTTCGTGAACCCATATTCATGGTTTATCCCTCGGCGTTTTCAGCCGGAAAGCTGTCGATGGCTACCGCTATGTCTCTGTTACGGTTTATGAGTGTTCTGTGTTCCTGAAGTAGTTTGAGTAGAATCGAATGGTTCCTGATATTCCGCTATTTTCATACCGGATGTCCATGGTTCGTTCTATTATGATTTTGTTGGTTCCGTCTTATTGTTCCAGAGTTCGCTATTTATCCCAGCCGCTCGTTGGTATCCAGTTTGTCGCGTCAGCGATAGCGTTCTTAGTTTGCAAGGTTAAAACGCATAATTTCCAGATCTTAGGCAGTTACGCGTATACGATGATTCCGAAAATTGTCGATATAGTGAACTTTCCTGCCCACGGTTCTCTACCAGTTGCTGTTTCAGTCCATGTTGAATTTGGGCAAGCGAGCGCCAGCGATGAACGCTTCAATTCCAGCCAGATTTGAGCGTTCTACCGGTGATGCGCATCGCCGTAAACCTGATGCATCCAGGTATGAGACGATGGCACGAGGTTCGTCGAGATGCGTGAAGATATCCCGACGAAGTGGAGGATTGTTCGAGATGAACCAATGGACAGGCGAATGCAATGGTATCAATCGGCGAACGGTTCCGGTAAATTCGCATGCGAATCCAGGAATATGGATGATACGTTCCCAGTCGCAATCATTCATCCATATACCAGACACTGTTTGCGTGCCCAATGGCAGTCGAAACGGCGAGTTCGTTTCAGTAATTGTTTCATCCCGGTTCGTTCATCTGCCAGCCTAATGGACCAATGTCCCGATAGTTCAGTCGAATGACCCACTTTAAACCCAAAACCAATATACGCACCAGCAGCGAGCGAAGTTCATGTCGATTCCAGTCCTGCTCCGCCAACCCCAGCAACGTTCATTCAGTCCTGACCGAAACATCCACCTGGACGGTGTATCATGCCCCTGACCCACCTGGTGTAAAACTCCTGACCCTGACCCACCTGGTGTACCTCCTGACCCTGACCAACCTTGGTGTATGGGTGACCCTGACCCACCTGGGTTTAATCTTGCCCCTGACCCACCTGGTGTATGGTGACCCTGACTGGACCACCTGGTGTACCTCACTGCCCCTGACTCCACCCGTGTGACCCGTGGTGCCCCTGACTCCACCCGTGTACCATGCCCTGACCCACCTCGGGTGTACCATGCCCCTGACCCACCCTGGGTACCATGCTCCCTACCCACCCGTGTACCATGCCCCTGACCCACCCGTGTACCATGCCCTGACCCACATAGTGTACCCCTGCCACTGACCCACCTGGTGTACCATGCCCCTGACCCACCTGGTGTACCATGCCCCTGACCCACCTGGTTTTTACCATGTCCCTGACCCACCTGGTGTATGGTGACCCTGACCCACCTGACCCACCCACTCCTGGTGTACTGGATCCACCTGGTATGGTGCCCCTGACCCACTGGTGTACCGCGCGGCCCTGGACACAACCTGGTGTACCATGCCCCTGACCCACCTGGTGCATGGTGCCCCTGACCCACCTGGTGTACCATGCCCCCTGACTCCACCTGGTGTACCGCGCCCCTGACCCACCTGGTGTATGGTGCCCTGACCCACCTGGTGTACTCCTGACCCTGACCCACCTGGTGTATGGTGCTCCCTGACACCCTGGTGTACCATGCCCCTGACCCACCTGGTTTACCCCCTGACCCACCTGGTGTATGGTGACTCCAGGACCTTACCTGGTGTACTATGACCCTGACCCACCTGGTGTATGGTGCCCCTGACCCACCTGGTGTACCCTGCCCCTGACCCACCTGGTGTATGGTGCCCCTGACCCACCTGGAAACCATGTACCCACCTGGGTGTATGATGACCCTGACCCACCTGGTGTACCATGCCCCTGACCCACCTGGTGTGTGATGACTCTGACCCACCTGGTGTACCCCCTGATCCACCTAGTGTACCCTGCCCCTGACCCACCTGGTGTACCATGTCCCTGACCCACCTGGTGTACCATGCCCCTGACCCACCAGGTGTACCTTGCCCCTGACCCACCTGGGGAGTGGTGCCCTGACTCACCTGGTGTATCGTGGCCCCTGACCCACCTGGGTGTATGGTGCCATCCTGACCCTGGTGTACGTGTGTGCCCCTGACCCAACTGGTACACGCCCCTGACCCACCTGGTGTATGGTGCCCCTGACCCACCTGGTACCGACCCACCTGGTGGCAGGGTGCCCCTGACCCAACTGGTGTACCTGCATCTGACCCACCTGGTGCACCCTGACCCTGACCCACCTGATGTATGGTGCCCCTGACCCACCTGGTGTACCATGCCCCTGACCCACCTGGTGTACCATGCCCCTGACCCACCTGGTGTACCATGCCCCTGACCCACCTGGTGTACCATGCCCCTGACCCACCTGGTGTATGGCCCTGACCCACCCTGGTGTATGGTGCCCCCACCCACCTGTGTACTCATGCCCCTGACCCACCCGGTGTACCATGCCCCTGACCCACCTGGTGTACCATGCCCCTGACCCACCTGGTGTACCATGCCCCCACCCACCCACCTGGTGTATGGTGCCCCTGACCCACCTGGTGTACCATGCCCCTGACCCACATGGTGTATGGTGACCCTGACCCACCTGGTGTACTCATGCCCCTGACCCACCTGGTGTATGGTGCCCCTGACCCACCTGGTGTATGGTGTACCATGCCCTGACCCACCTGGTACCCTGTGACCCACCTGGTTTACCCCCCTGACCCACCTGGGTGACTCCTGACCCACCTGGTGTACCCTGCCCTGACCCACCCGGGTGTACCATGCCCCTGACCCACATAGTGCATCTCATGCCCCTGACCCACCTGGTGTACCATGCCCCTGACCCACCTGGTGTACCATGCCCCTGACCCACCTGGTGTACCGGTGCCCCTGACCCACCTGGTGTATGGTGCCCCTGACCCACCTGGTGTACCATGCCCCTGACCCACCTGGTGTACCGTGCCCCTGACCCACCTGGTGTACCATGCCCCTGACCCACCTGGTGTACCATGCCCCTGACCCACCTGGTGTACCCTGCCCCTGACCCACCTGGTGTATGGTGCCCCTGACCCACCTGGTGTACCATGCCCCTGACCCACCTGGTGTACTGGTGCCCCTGACTCCACCTGGGTGTGCCTCCTGCCTGGTGCCCTGACCCACCTGGTGTACCATGCCCTGACCCACCTGGTGTACCATGCCCTGACCCACCTGGTGTATGGTGCCCCTGACCCACCTGGGTGTACCATGCCCTGACCCACCTGGTGTACCATGCCCCCTGACCCACCTGGTGTATGGTGCCCCTGACCCACCCGGTGTACCATGCCCCTGACCCACCTGGTGTACCATGTGCCCCTGACCCACCCTGGTGTACCCTGCCCCTGACCCACCTGGTGTACCCACCCCTGACCCACCTGGGTGTACCATGCCCCTGACCCACCCGGGTGTACCATGCCCCCTGACCCACCTGGTGTATGGTGCCCTGACCCACCCTGGGTACCATGCCCCTGACCCACCCGGTGTACCATGCCCCTGACCCACCTGGTGTACCCTGCCCCTGACCCACCTGGTGTACCATGCCCCTGACCCACCTGGTGTACCATGCCCCTGACCCACCTGGTGTACCATGCCCCTGACCCACCTGGTGTATGGTGCCCCTGACCCACCTGGTGTACCATGCCCCTGACCCACCTGGTGTACCATGCCCCTGACCCACCCCCTGGTGTACCATGCCCCTGACCCACCTGGTGTACCATGCCCCTGACCCACCTGGTGTACCATGCCCCCTGACCCACCCGTGTACCATGCCCCTGACCCACCTGGTGTACCATGCCCCTGACCCACCTGGTGTACCATGCCCCTGACCCACCTGGTGTACCATGCCCCTGACCCACCTGGTGTACCCTGCTCCCTGACCCACCTGGTGTACCCTGACCCTGACCCACCTGGTGTACCCTGCCCCTGACCCACCTGGTGTGCTGGTGCCCCTGACCCACCTGGTGTATGGTGCCCCCTGACCCACCCACTGTAAACCATGCCCCTGACCCACCTGGTGTATGGTGCCCCTGACCCACCTGGTGTACGGTGCCCCTGACCCACCTGGTGTACCGTGCCCCAACCCACCTGGTGTATGGTGATCCACCTGGTGTACCATGACCCCTGGCCCACCTGGTGTGTACCATGCCCCTGACCCACCTGGGTGTATGGTGCCCCTGACCCACCCACTGTACCATGCCCCTGACCCACCCTGGTGTACAGTGCTCCCACCCACCTGGTGTACCATGCCCCTGACCCACCTGGTGTGACCATGCCCCTGACCCACCTGGTGTATGGTGCACCTACCCACCTGGTGTACCATGCCCCTGACCCACCTGGTGTACCATGCCCCTGACCCACCTGGTGTACGGTGCCCCTGACCCACCTGGTGTACCATGCCCCTGACCCACCTGGTGTACCATGCCCCTGACCCACCTGGTGTATGGTGCCCCTGACCCACCTGGTGTTACCTGCTGCTGCCGGTGTACCATGCCCCTGACCCACCTGGTTACAATGCCCCTGACCCACCCACTGTATGGTGCCTGACCCACCCGTGTACCATGCTGACCCACCCGGTGTACCATGCCCTGACCCACCCGGTACCCTGCCCCCTGACCCACCCGGTTTATGGTGCCCCTGACCCACCCACTGTACCCTGACCCTGACCCACTCAGTGTACCATGCCCCTGACCCACCCGGTGTATGGTGCCCCTGACCATCCCTGTGTACCATGCCCCTGACTCACCTGGTGTATGGTGCCCCTGACCCACCTGGTGTATGGTGCCCCTGACCCACCCCGTGTACCATGCCCCTACCCACCCCGTGTACCATGCCCCTGACCCACCTGGTGTACCATGCCCCTGACCCAACTGGTGTACGGTGCCCCTGACCCACCTGGTGTACCATGCCCCTGACCCACCTGGTGTACCATGCCCCTGACCCACCTGGTGTACCATGCCCCTGACCAACCCTGGGTACCATGCCCCTACCCACCCGGTGTACCATGCCCCTGACCCACCTGGTGTATGGTGCCCCTGGGGAAGTACAGCATGTCCCCTGCCTCCAGCAACACGTCCAGGATGGGTTCCCCCACATCCTCCTCCTTCAGGTTGGCTACAAGAGGCAGACACTGCATCAATGTTCAGAGTCCATGTGAGGTAAAGAACTATCTTAAGTCTTGTTAAATTATGTAGACTTACAATTGTCGCAGTGCTATAGCAATTTGAAGTCTATATTAAGGTATGGGAGTCCAGATTATCTTAGTGTTGCTACTATCATGAGATCATCTTAACCCTTCGACCCACCTTACTCGATGTTTAAGCATTGGAGTATCACTAGATTTACAAGATATCATGTCTGAAAGAGTCTTTCACTATACATGGTTGGCTGTGTACTATATTTAACCACTGTCACCAGCATCTATACAACTCATCTATTATCCTCATCCTTTGTTGCTGTCTTCAGTACTTGATCCATTAAAATCTTTCAACACAGACAGAGTAGATATCTGAGTACTTACCACTTGAAAACCTTGGCAGTACTTCAGACTTGTTTCTGAAAATACATAGAGGATGTTATATGAGTGCCCTTGTCATACTATGTTTATGACACGAGTGCTTAAATGTTGGTATTTCCCGAGCGAGAGCGAGGGATAAACCGATATTTAGGCACGAGTGTTGTAAACATAGTTTGATATGGGCATGAATTTAATATTCTGTTTATTACCGAAGTCCTCAAATTGAGGAAAATAACCCAAATCTACTTTCAAACATAGGCTGTCTACCCGCCGTCGCCACCTGTAGAACGCAACGTCACAGAAGAAACGTGACGTCATAGCATTGTTCATGACATCACGTCACCATGACTAGGTGATATTTTGCCCTAGAGCATCGTATGAAAAATATGAACCCCGATATGTTCGCCCTCGTAGGTAATAAAAAAAAATTAAAGCAATATTTTTAATAGATCTACATGTTAGGAGCTATTGCCATGATCATGGCTGTAAATACCAACTTATTTCAGGAATACAACTGACCTTACAGACAACAGTTTCTACATTTCTACACTGACTTACTATGCACTTAAAGTGCCAGAGTGTCTAATAGTGTAACCATGGTAATCTGGACTGACAAAGTGTCGGTGGTTTCCTGGGACTGATGAGTTGCCAATGTTTTCACCACTTGAGTTGCTATGGTTACCTGAGACTGCAGCCATTGGTGTTTATACCACTTCAGTTATCATAGTTATCTGGAACTGTACTTCTACCACCTATGTAGCCATGGTTACCTGGGACTGTAAAGCCGCCAGTGCTTCTTCCCCTCCAGCTGCAGTATGAAGGCTTCTATGTCATCAAAGTGTGGGGCAAAGCCCTGGGTCCCTGGTGGAGTGAGATACCTGACACAAAGCAAGGAATGTTATGCTATCATCCAGAATTAGCGTTTAGTCAATCAAAATAAAAGGGTACTATATTTACAATGGAAACAGAGCATGCTGAAGACACAATGAACAATCTATTTCTTGCATCATCTTTATATGGTGTTGCACCCAGTAAAAAGTTTCAGAATGAGTAGAAAATCTCTGTTAGTACCAGGATCATGTGTCTGCTTCAGTCATAATCGGAATGAAATATAAGTAGGCATGTTCGGCAAACCATAAAATGGAACTGAGAGTGAGATCATCAACTTTGTAGGTGAACACAAATGTCGAGCAACTGAGAAGTTGATCTTTAAGTTGCCACAGGCCTAAGCAGCTGAAAAGTATTGATCTCCTTAGCAGCTGAAAGTCCCAGCCTTTCTGATTTGATATTTTCTCCTGGAACAATACGGAATATTTCAGGAGACAAGTGTAGAAGCCACTGCACCAGCAATATTGTCTAACACCTGTATAATTCAATACTCACACATTAGCACCGACACAGCAACCAAAGTATTCCTGCAATATGGCCAACAGTTTCCAGACATTTCGGGAGTAAGTCTGAGGATTTAACAACCTCACAGAGCACCCGTTCTGGAAGACAACAGCAGCTGCTGGTTAGTTGCAATATCAGAGACATCATACCTCAAGATAACACTCATACCATAATCCCGACACACATATCCACACACTTCGTAATAAACTGACTGAAACACGACGGTCGCTAGGGAGCCAGTTTAAGTGACCTTGCTCATTGTGATGCCTGTCAATAATAGTATCTTCACAGTGTGTGAGTGAGTGAGTGAGTGAGTGAGTGAGTGAGTGAGTGAGTTAGTTTAGTTTTAACACTGAGCAATATTCCAGCCTTATGGCGCCGGTCAGTAAATAATCTAGTCTGGACCAGACAATCCAGTGATCAACAGCATAAGCTTCGATCTACGTATTTGGGATATGATGACATATGTCAACCAAGTTAGCGAGCCTGACCAACCAATCCCGTTAGACGCCTCTTACGACAAGGGTTACTGAAGATCGATTCTAACCCGGACCTTCAGGGGTATGTCGTAGTAAGCACAAAATAATAGTTGACAGTGTGGCTGTGTGGCCCCTGTGGTATTAAACCTAAATTCAATAACTGTTTATCAAATTCAGAATGCTCCAATAGTTAAAGGAGTCATTACAATGGGTGGGTTTACACAGCTATCATTAAACAGGCGTCAACTAAAGATAATAGTAACTCCAATCAACAAGTGAGTGGAATAGAACTGTATCTATACGACAACGTCACTCACCTGGTAGTAGTCCCACACAACTGGAGCATATGCTCGGCCTGAAATGTTGTGTGTTTCTCGTACACCTTTTTCAAAAGTTGTCACATCAAGATTCACCCCAAACTGGATATTTTCCTGTAGAAGAGAAAAGGTTTCATAGATGTGACTTTGATGAAAATGTCTGTAGGAATGACAAAACTTCCCCCAGTCTAGCACCTGGTCCGCTGTCCCCACATACCACGCTTACAATCATGTTAACATGCACCAGCAATCAGTGATCTCGGCCAACTTCTTCAAGTCTCCAAGGATACTGATGTCATCTACATGCTGTCTTTTACAGAAACTGATACGAACAACTGATAAAACAAACATGATGCCAAAGCCATAAAGTAAAGAAAATATTTCTCATCTTCATACTAGCTACTTAAAACATGTGCAAATATTTTTTTAGGATAAACAGGTTTGGTTCTGTATGAAGTTTTTTTGAGCAAAATGGCAGAATTATCCTTCCAAGGTCGTCATTGTTTGATGTACACATTTATCAGGTTCACTGGAATCTGCACAAAATAATTGCACTAACACCAGACAAACTGACTAACCTCGCGTAGTATCCTGTCAAGTTCGGATGTGGTGAACCAACCGTCATTATAATGTGGAATGTGGCGCTTCACAAGCAGGGGCTTCCTCTCCCATAACTCACTGCAGGACATAATACAACCGTGTGATGAAAACAATACAACAATATGAGGGCACGATACAAAGGACATGATACAACCGTGTGATGAAAACAATACAACATTATAAGGGCATGATACAAAGGACATGATACAACCGTGTGATGAAAACAATACAACAATATGAGGGCACGATACAAAGGACATGATACAACCGTGTGATGAAAACAATACAACAATATGAGGGCACGATACAAAGGACATGATACAACCGTGTGATGAAAACAATACAACAATATGAGGGCACGATACAAAGTACATGATACAACCGTGTGAACATGGTGAAGGACATGATACCAGAATATGCAATACATGACGCAAGGAGGGACACAATACAACACTAGAAGGGCATGAATGAGTGAGTGTGTTCGTGAGTGAGTTTAGTTTTACACCACACTCAGCAATCCCGGATGGGACTAAACCCAACAAAAGTACTAGAATCGGTACTTACTAAGTAAGTGTAATCCCAAATATAACATGTTACATTTGACCACTTTCTAGATGGCATTGTGTAATCATGAATTAATGTAACATTGCAATAAATTGACTCTCGCGTCCTCTACCAGCCGCACATTATTTCAAGTGAACTCCATAAAGTCATGTCCCTTGGAGCGCTCTTTATGAATATCCTATTACTCCTTTGAAGACAGAACTCAGCCACTGAAGCAGATGCTAATGTCTGGCGCAGAAACAAACACATCATGATTGATACCAGTTCCGCAAACACCGACAACACCATGTTCGATAGTTTTCGATGTACGGAGCAATTGTTTACATTCCATATATATATATGGCAAGTGTTTTCTGTTTAAAAGCTGTTCGCCTCAAAGTTTCAATTATCGATTTCAGGCAAATTGTAAGGGATAATAAGTCTTTTATTGCATCAATAGGACGCGAGTGCATATGCCCCAATATGTATTATATAGACCAAAAAATTGTCGAAAATGTGTGAAATTGTGCGTTTAACATTGCCTCGTTCATCTGGAGAGCAAAACATAATAACAAGCCAGATAATACATTGCAACCACCCTCTCCTGTTTTCTTTGACTCATGGTAACGGTAAGGGTCATACAGATTGTGCATGATGACACAGCAGAACAAGCAGCCCTGGGGTACGGGGGCAATATTCCATCTGACTGACTGACTGAGTTTGGTTTTACGCCGCTTTTAGCAATATTCCAGCAACATCATGGCGGGGGACACCAGAAATGGGCTTCACACATTGTGCCCATGTAGGGATTCGAACTGGGGCAATATTCCATCTGACCACTAGTCACATCTGGAAGTCACAGGAAGAGGATCTCACCTGAAGAACCTATCTGTGGTGAGGGGATGGATGAGACATTCAAATGTTTTCTTGGCCTGCTCGCCACTGTCGTACATGTATGGCACACGCCGTGCTACAGGTTCCTCGTCCTCATTGCCATCGGTCTCCTGCAGTGGAAGACATATCTACATCAAACATATCAACAGGGAATACTATACACCATGTCCAAGCTTTCAAGGATTACTCTCCTGCAGTGGAAGACATATCTACATCAAACAACTCTCCTCAGGGAAGACATATCTACATCAAACAACAGGGAATACTATACACCATGTCCAAGCTTTCAAGGATTACTCTCCTGCAGTGGAAGACATATCTACATCAAACAACAGGGAATACTATACACCATGTCCAAGCTTTCAAGGATTACTCTCCTGCAGTGGAAGACATATCTACATCAAACATATCAAGGAGGAATACTATACACCATGTCCAAGCTTTCAAGGATTACTCTTCCTCAAATCAAAAGTCATTAGTTTAATACAGAGGAATGGTAAAGCTGTTTATAATAAATTATTATTAACATCTATTATGGATGGATTCATAAAATATCAGATAAAGTTACCTGACAAAGTGAAAGACACTGTAATCTGACCTTACATTAAGTGAACATGAATGAGTTTACATCAAAACAGCAGAAACTGATAGTTGAGGAAAGACCCCCACAAACTGCAGACTAAAAGTTATAACATCATTCTTGGTAGGAAAGAGCTCCCTACTTTTCAGAAACCACAATTCATCATATTTGACTATAATTATAATATTTCCTGATTCCAGGTCAGTGTCACTGTTGAGTTGTTTACGCTACAGCTGCCTATCACATGTCCCAGGTGTATGACATAATGATGGGGACATCACAGGGGCTCGTTGTAATGCAAGGAACTGGCATCAAGGTATATATTGTCACTGACAGAGTCTTAGCGCTATTACAGATTATACCTTGATCCCAGTTTTTTTTTACTTTCCATCCATTTTAGCTACAACAATAGTAAAACTATAGTTAAGGACTTTATCATTTTCAGAAGTTGTATGCCTTCATTCTGTCATTTGTCAGGCATACCTCGGCATTCTGCAAACAGTAAACTTTAAAATGGTATTACAGTAATTTACACTTCTCATGTCGTCATGTGTACTAATAAACATCAATAAGCAAATAGAGGGGAGAAGTTTGGATTGTTGTTCGTTGTTTAAGGCTGCACATAAAATAATTAATGTGATAGGAATGCAAGAAGAAGAAGAAGAAGAAGAAGAAGAAGAAGAAGAAGACATAGAAGACATAGTATTATTAGTACCTAACCATTTGGTCCATTAAGTTACTATTTACCATGTTTGGGTTTCCCCTTACAGGTTGGTTGGTACCTGTCAAAACCTCAAATCTTAGAGAATTCCAAAGTTTGAACACAATGATTATCGACCAAGTTAAACATGATGAATACAATTCTGAATAAGGACATTTCTTACTGGCAATGCAGTCACTCCTGAGATTTGAGATGTGTCAGCAGAATCCATGAGACGGTTTGCCATTTTCTTTTTCTTTTTCTCTACATGTTCTGGGGAGCTCATTTTACGTTTTGTCGCCTGTTTTGCCTGGGTGTTTTGCTTTGGGGGTTTAGGTGGCAGACTGACACCTTTAGCAGGAGAAGCAATCATTGGCTTTGGCAACTGTCCTGTACTGGTTTTGGATTTACCAGTTGAGGTTTTCTCTGAAACCAAAATAGATACGGTTGAAATGTGAAGTACAGAAGAATACATTCCGAAGAAGTCATCACATGAGTGAGGAAGGTAAGCATAGGCTACTGCCATTGTGACCAATATGCATTATATGAAAATAATGTCAGGAATTTGCCCAGATCAAATCTACCAGAGACAAGAAAACATTGTGTCCAGGGACACGGATGCCCCCGCTGACATTCAGAAGACATATAAAGATCAATAATTGAACAAAATTTACGAAGAAGTTCAATAAACATCTATGCAACTATGAGATGCACACCTTTCGAGTCCCAATGACACACATGTATAAGCCTAATCAATTCTGTTGAGCAGTCTTTGTGGAGAAGTGGATAGACTTAAATCCCTATTTCACTATCATCAGAGAGAAATTCAACAAAATTTATGTAAGTTCAAACGGCATTAAAATTGGAAAAATAAATAAAATACAAAATCAAAATATGAGATGCATGCCTTTAGAGTCCCTATAAAGCACATGTGTAATCTAAATGAATTCCATAAAGTAGTTTTTGAGGAGAATTGGATAACATACACCCCCTGTTGGATGGAACGAACAGACTGAATAGAACAAAATTCAACTAAGTTCAAACATCTGTAAAAGTGACAAAATAAGAAATTGCATAAAAAATTATGAAATGCACACCTTTAGAGTCCCTACGAAAGACATGTAGAAGTTCATTCAATTCTGTTTTTGTGGAGAAGTGGATAGAGTACATTACATTTTCAGACGGACACGGAGGGTAACCCTATATGCCCCAAGCCATATATGGCGGGGGCATAAAAAGGGAGTACAAAATCCAGTTTCCACCTTTATCAACTTCCTTGCCAAGGGGCGATGACCTTGACCTAATAAGAGGCTGACATTCATACCCATGTCTGCAGTATATGTCGAATCAACATCCGCTAATTGAAATCTAATGAAAACGTAGAAACTAATGCTATGGCTATGAAGAGCTGGCATGTATTGTACAGATAACATACCAATAAGGAGGAAGGGGCTTGTAAACTTGATTTTGAAAACAATCTTAAAATTTCTTTGAGAGGCATTTTAGAATTTGTGAAGATGAAGGAAAACCAAATTCTATGGATAGTCAACTTCTTTATTGCAATGAATGCGACGTTCTGAGGGTACATTATAACCAGTACCTGGAGAAGTTAGCAAACAACATAATCAGAACCACCCTCAACCCAGGAAAGGAACCGGCAATCAGCACCCTTCATAATAAGTATCCTGTATGTCCCAACAGTCAGCAACCAGGTAAGACTCATCCAGCAGCAAGCTGGGATAGACATTCTATTCTATTCCAGAGAGGCCAGTTCATCCAGAACCTCCTCCAAGCCAGAGGCATACCAACCACCATCAACAACAAAAGATAACCCCTCGGGATTAGTCTACCAGATCCATTGCAAATGTGGAGACTCTTATCATCAACCAATCACTCTGTGCATCAACCTACTCTACTCAAAACACTTATTAGCAATCCAATGTGAGGTGAGGTGAAATTGGGTTTAACGTCGTACTTGAGAATATTTCGCTCATATGACGACGTGCATGCGTGTGTATGTGTAGGTGTGGCTGCTTGTACTAGCCCAGACTGAAGCTGGTTTTATAGTGCTAGCTCACTGAGATACCATGCCACAGTGAAGCATGAATACCCCACTCAGACACATTAAACTGACTCCAAGCCGACCAGTCCTTGATGTACCCATTAATGCCGAGCGCCAGGCAGGGACCAACAAGTACCATATATTAACGTCTTTTGGTATGACGCGGTCGGGGATCGAACCAGCGACCTTCCGCTCTCCGGGCGGACGTTCTAACCACTACACCATGGAGGCGGTCAGCAATCCTAAGTACATCAACCTTGCACCTATGTATATATTCTCCTTGCTTCAACTCTTTGTATCACTTGCTTGATAATAGTATCTGAACCGAAACGTCGCAGTCATTGCAATAAAGAAGTTGACTATCCATAGAACTTGGTTTTCCTTTTATCTGAAAATGTTGATTTTTTCTAGCTTATAACAACTTGCAAGTCTGAGGTTTGTTGGTAAACAAACCTTTGGTTAATCAAGCAATATTGACAGAACAAGTGTTTGCCACTGATATGGCAATGTACCCTGCCGCTTAAGAATGGAATATCTCTATTTACTACTTTTTATTTTTTGGTCACATACAAGATGCCTGAAATAACTGGTGTCTGCATAATCACCCAATGTAGGCTGTCGACATAACTGAAAACATTGGGTGCAATGTTTTATGAGATATCGCGTTTAAAAAGATTGAAAAGTGTTCAAAGTGTCGTGGTGACCTTGAAGATAAGGTCAAGGTCTCCAAAATAAACTGGTGTCTGGGTAATCCCCCAATGTAGGCTGTCACCAAATTTGAAGACATTGGGTACAAGAGTTCATGAGATATCACGTTAACAAGAGTTTGAAAAGTGGTCAAAGTGTCGTGGTGACCTTGAAGATAAGGTGAAGGTCACCTAAATACACTGGTGTCTGCGTAATCCCCCAATGTAGGCTGTCACCAAATTTGAAGACATTGGGTACAACAGTTCATGAGATATCACGTTAACAAGAATCGGGACCGTACGTATGGACGTATGCCGCTGAATACATAGCCCCCCGTTCCGCGTTACAGCGGGGGCCAATGAAGAGAGTGAAACTGAAAGTGACAGAATGAAGAGAATGGTGACATAATGACGGTGAGTCTCACCAGGTGAAGTTTTCTTTGTCTTGCTACTGATGCTGCCGATACTGTCAATGCTAAGAGTGCTGCCCCCCAATGCGATGGGCATGTTGTGTTTCATCGCCGTCAGCTCACAGCAGTCGTTGTTGGCAACATAGGGGCTGTCATTCACTTGGTCACGGAGAATGGAGGGTCTTCTTTTGCTAGCGGACCTAATACTGCCCCTCAAACTGCCACCCTTCAGGACTTTCTGGAAATAGAAGAATTGATGTCTAGAGTGATCTACTCTGCAAGCCGGACAGTGAAACACCTACATATAATCTGCATGATTTAAGGCAACCAAAATATTGTTTGCCTTGATATATTATCGCTATTTTATATCAGATGTTTTTAACACTGTTCTGGCAGAACAAACAGTTGCTGTACCATGTGAATGAGAGTTGGGTTTAACACTGATGTGGTTACATTTCACTACATCAATATATTTGGTACGAAATCACACGTGGCACTTTCAATGCCAGTACATCTAGAAATTTTCATTTTTAATTTTATGATCATTGTATCTTGGCTCCTTTTATGGCCACAGCTGTGCTCTACTCATGATTCAGATTATGTCTATTTTTGTTTGTTGTTAAACACCACACACGGCAATACTCCAACTTTATGATGGTGGTCTGTAAATAATCAAATATGAACCAGATAATCAAATGATTGTTATCATTAGCATGATTGGCATCAATCTTCGGAATTAGGATACGATGACAAGCATCAACAAAGTCACCGCACATGATCACCCGTACCATAAGTCGCTTCATACGACAAGCATGGGATGCTGAAGACAAATTCCAAGCCAGTCTTCCCGTGTGACAGCTGGATGCAGCCAACAGATACACACAGTAGATGTATCGGAAGTGGATCTACAGTACAACTGAGGACTTTCCACGTTACTGATATGAATATCTGACGGACTTTCCAAACACAGGTCACAACTTGTGTTAGGGTTGTGCTCAACTCATTTATAGGATCCTGGCCAGTTTATGGTCACAACTGTGCTCACAGAAATGCAGTTACTTCGACAACTTAGCCACTTGGCCACACTTTAACATTCAATCTCTTTATTTGTTGTATGAGACTAAACAAATAAACATTATGTATGAAAAGACCCAATAAGATACATGATGACAAATACATTTAAATATCAGCTGTGAATTTATATAACTCAAATGACTAAATTTTAGAGTGAGTGAATAGGAGAATATGTTTTCATGTCACTTTTAGCAATATACCAGCAATATCACGGTACGGGGACACCAGAAATGGGCTTCACACATTGTACCCATGCAGGGAATCAAACCTGGGTCTCCAGCGGGATGAGCGAACACTTTAACCACTAGACTACCCCACCGTCCCAAGCAACTCTTAAAACAGAACTTTAAAGGTAATGATTTTATTACTTCTTTAAGAAGTAAGTTACAGGAGGCATGGGTCTTGAAAGAGAGCGCAACTGAGCTGACATACCAGGAACTTTTTTCCCTTGGTAGCGCGCTGTCTTTCTTCTGTTCGTCGAGGGCAACAGGTGTGCTCGCAGCTCTTCTTAGTGACATCTTCCTGTCTTCATCACCGTTCACCACTGGGCTCGGTTCCACATCCTCTAATGCACCCTTTGCCTGCAACAGTGATCATGGTTACTAGATAACACAACACACAAGCTGATGATAGCCACATGGACACCAAACCAGGCCACAGACTGCAATAAACTACACAGTGACAGTGAATCAAAGCATCTATGTTGGGATCAAATATAGTTGCACATGCAACAGACGAGTTCTATAAACATGTAAAACAAAGCTAACAGTTAACTATGTTTAACTGTTTGATTTCAAATGTATCTGAGACACCTTGACTTTTCAACATGACAATGCTGGTCTTCTGATGACTTGAGAGGCAGGGGTTCATTTCCTTTATATACCAGGTACCAAACAAAAAGATGCTTGAACATTCATATGCAAAATAACAACAAAATGTCACAAATATCACAGTTTGAACATCTGTATAGAATCTGAAAAAATTAAAAAATGGATTTATCACATTCATGGGTGGGCATATCACATAGCATATTGTCAGGTGTAAATCTACGATGCATCAATAGAGCTATGTTATGTGACTCCCATCACTAGCAACCAGTTTAAAGCCTGTGTCCAGTAAAATGTGGAAAATGTATATCAGGCAGTCGGGGGGGACCATCTCGCATACATATCAAGTCCTCTACTGTATACATTATAAATGAACACAAAACACTGCTGTCATTTGTTGCTGTGTAATACAGACAATCAATAAACCAACTGTAAACTAAAGTACTGTCGGAAATAGAAAAAACAACTGTCTTCAGGCTGTTCCTCTGTATCCTTAAAATTTACACAGTTGCAAATAGCATATGTTGAAATAACCCACATCGGCCTAACTGGGTGTTCAACAGGATGTTTATATTAGCATATCCAGAACAGCATGTTTACTTATAAAATCGGGCAAAACTTAGAAAAAATATGAATAGCTGCTGAAAACAATATATCTGACTATAGATTGCAATTAGGTCGCTCAGCCAGGTATGACGACAGACCGTCGACTCACCTGGCATGAAATGCATGTGCTGCCTACAGGCACAACTGGTCATCTCAAAGATATTTTATGATTTTTCATTTGTCTTGTACATGTTTTTCTTTCATAAAGTTTATGTTGAGATATGTAAAAGACTATGATACCAACAGAAAATCTTAAATCAGCCATCGATTAAATGTCTCCAAATATATAGGTGGCATGAACACCAAAAGATCGACAAGACTGGATATTATTTGTCAATTGCTATGACATGCCGTTTATTTCCCCAGTTTAATTTCCCTAAAGTATTATCTTATCTTAGCTGATATATCTATCCCCCAGCCCGACCCCAACCATCGTCTGCGACACCCGTCCTGGTTAAACTTTTGAGACGACCCCCTCCTGCCTGTTTCCTTTTTTAGTTATAGTGAGATTCCATGGTAGCTACATCCTTAATAGTTTCAGTATTAAAGTAATTATTTTTTACGTCAGTTATCGTTTATAATGAAGCTAAGTCTAATTTCAAAATGGGCATTTAAAAAGTGTCCATTGTAATACAATATCATTGCACACTAATTTGCATAAAGCCTTGGTCTGTTCCAAATAAGACGCTTTGGACAGCATTGCTCATTTCTGCACTAATCTCTCCCCGGTAAAGTCCTATTTTTATGTTTCCTATCTCCCTGCCACTGAGACTGTATTTAGGCCGAACTTGGTTTAACAGATATTTCACACTTTCACATATTAACTACATAAATTGTAGGTATAAATGTGACACCCTCCAATTTTTTCTATTTCCGACAGTACTTTAGCATCATTACAAACTCTGTATGCAATATGCAAGGAATGTTTTATTCCATCATCAGGCAATATATTAAATAAATTTATCCATTCTAGTATTCTACACCCTTTAACACAGATGAATATGGAAGCAAAACAGTCAGGGACACCTGGGAGTCATTGGAGCTGAATGGATCATTGTCGGCAGTGGTACTACAGACATGTACTATAGTATGGATACAGTGTACCCTGATCTCTATAAGACAGAATGGTTCCCTAACATGAATCCATTCCACACAGCACAGTGCACGGAACCGTTTCCTTTACATTGAACATAAAATGCTTGTTTCACTTCAGTTTCAAAACAATCATTCTCTTGTGTGAAAATCAAGTGTGCTTTATTAAAAAGGAGCACACATAAGTATTATTCTGCGATGGCCAGCACTATCCATAAACAGATACACGGGCTCCAACCGTGACAACATGAACCAGTTTCAGTTTCAGATTGATTAATATGGATATGTTCACCATTTAGTGTTCTGGGTACTATTTTCTATTTCTCTTTGCTGAAATATACCTGGGGTACATATATGTCAGGGTAGAGATTGCGATCTGGTAAAATCGGAGATTCTACCAGTAGAGATTGCGATCGGAGTCTCTACTGGTAGAATCTCCGATCCTACTAGCAGAGATTGCAATCAGAGTCTTTACTGGTACAATCGGAGATTCTACCAGTACATTTCCAATTCAAATGGTAGAAACTCTGATTGATCTGTGGGCAAACAATAAAGATGACAACAATTGTACAAATTTATGGAGAGATGGAGAAGTGTAATAATACTTTGGGGGCAGGGCCTGACGAAGATTATTATAAAAATTACATTCTAAGCAGAAGACTCTACCAGTAGAAACTCCAATCGCAATCTCTACTGGAAGAGACTCTGATCGCAATCTCCACTGGTAGAATCTCCGATAGTACCAGATCCCAATCTCTACCCTGACATATACATGTGCCGACAAAGACCACTTCAATGTACTTCGATGTCACAGACAGATTATGCAGCAGACAATGACCGAAGATATTCTGTAAAAGCTCTGGTTGCATGTCAATTAATGGTTTTCCTTATACACCATGGCCACTATCTGCAGATGAAACATGATGTACAGTGACAGAACACTTAACTATTGAGTTCCTTTTATGCATATAACATATTGACAGTGTCAAATTTCAGTGCTTCTTCAGCAAAAACTGATAATCTTTGTAAGGACATACATCGGACGCTGGCCCAAAAACATAAATACGATTACAAAGAACAAGGGTAACACAATAAACATGATACATGTCAAGTGTCATCAGCCGGTCACGAAAATTACAAAAAGGTAGTTAGTGCAACAAATGCTGGAATCTTACCTTTTTCCCTTTGGCATGAAACATGGAAAATGCAGACACTTTCTTCATGGCTAAATTCTTATCTCTTCCGTGGTAGAATACACCGCCGTTATCGATTCTGATTCATGGCCTTCGGCAAGCGAGGGAATTTTCAAATATTTTTTTACCCCACTTCGCGCAGCAAAGTTGACTCACTCTTCCCTGGTGGTTTTCAAATTTACCACCGCCTCCACCTTCTGCAGAAAGCAAAAAATGTGGCTCATAAAAAATGTTGTCTGGCCTCTATTGTTGCTTTCAATCTACCGTTAAAATTGTCAACAGGTGCGTTAGTTGACCTGAGACACCACATGGACGAACGTACCCTTTGACCCGGAAATACTTTAACCGGAAGAGGTAAAGCGGTAAATCTGCAACTCGTAAATGAAATATACCTGGGTCTATACCTATTAGCAGCGTAATACCAGTCATCTAAAAATGTCAAATATTATTGCAATAATATGAAGAGAATATTTGTTTATGGATCTTTCGTAGTATTTAAGGACCATCGATACAGTGAATGATTTCTTGTGTTTTCGATGTATCATTGCACTCCACGTTTTAACATAACCCGAGAATTCAAAAATGGCCGTCTTCCAAAGTTTACCATCATAGTTTATGTTATGGATGCCCACTCAAATTGATGACAAGCAAATTCTAGTTATGAAATACATCCCCGAAGAGGTACATCATCAGTACACCGTCATCGTAGAGAAGGAGAACAGGAATCCAATTCACACAACTTGCATATTTCGACGCGTCAATGTGCCATTGCTATGGAAATTAGGTAAACAATTTGTCAAATGACTTTTGAAATTCGAAGTTTTCTTTATCAGGGATCATTTAGAAGTTTATTTGAGTAGTGCCCCACCGACAACGTTGTCGATTACATTTGAAATGTTGAATTCTGTAGAAATGTCAATGTAATCCCAAATGCCGTGGACATGTATCAGAGCTACAGATAACGTTTCATTGTTATACCAAATGAATACAATGTATTTTTATTATTTTTAATAATGTAAAGTGCCCTAAAGACCCTTTATGTTATTTTGAATGTGCCATTAATATGATTATATATTTCAATGAGCATATGGCGCACCGGTGCAGTTGAAAAAGGATCCCTGCTTAATATAGTGATCAGAAATGCATTTGAAAATGTTCTAAATGTACCCTCGCGTCATGGGTTTCCGTGGTATTAAGAAATTTACGACTTTGAGTATGATCGCTCATATTGCCAAGTCATACAAACATAATATAGTGTTAGACGACATACCTTTGTATCATTTAATGTCAATAAAACACTTTTGTCATTCTGAAGTTCATTGCTGTCCGTATCGGACGACAGGCCGCCATTGTGCACAAACTCTGGTGACGTCAAATGTTTCCGTGGTATTTCCTTCAGATCAAATTACGGGCGCACAGCACATGTCACAATCTCACACGTTGTCAACAGCCAATCCGGGAGTGTCAATGTAGGTTTACAGTAATATCGAAGTTGATAAATTGCAATACAGAAAACGATTTTGCAGAATTAACACAATAGTCACATTTCTTCAGCATAAATTTCCAGTTCATAAAACATGTAGAGTTGATACGGGAAACGTGAAATGAAAAGTGAAAAAAACAACTTAAGAGATGACCCTATCGGGCCTCTATAGTTTAAAAAATAGAGCTGGGATTGCCCCCTTAGGTCACGTGATTGTTTTTTATTGATGACATCAGCTAGCAGACGAGCGATGTTTGGACAACTTTGAAGCTGAGTAAGTTCATAGAAAATGTTTGCAAAGATCGCGCAAAAAATGCATTACGTGCTAGACATAAAGTTGCATTAGTTTTTAATAGTAGATGACTGTACGAACTCAAATTGATGAAAGTCTGAACATTTTTTGTTCAGAACCGTGCCTATCAACTGATGAACGTGAACAATCGATAGGTGGCGCGATTTGGCGAGTGGCTCGTGAGAAATTATGTCATTAGAATATACCACGGAAACGTAAGTACCACGGAATCATATGACGGCATGGTATAAAAAAAAGAGTAATCTGAATTTGATTAAAATGACCAAACTAGAAAAAGACTTGACCCATGGATATAATTTGTGGATTTTAAACCAGAAGCATCCTCGACATATCGAGGATGAGTCAGAAGTGGTTATAAAGAAAATTAATTCTTACTTGTTTTCTTCTAAATTTGGCCTAATTTTCTCCATACTTGGGAACATTTTCCAATGGGACATTTCCTCCTGCATCCTGTCAACCTGGAACCTGTTTCACAAAGCAATCTTAGCGCTACAAGAATCGTAAGTCTATGTTAAAGTATGGGAGCTGTGATCACCTTAGCGCTGAGATTGCTTTGTGAAATGGGTCTCAAAAGGGCCCAGAACTTGCAAGGAGTCCAATCAGTATAGGAAGTGGGTGCAACAAGAGTAATGCTAAAACTGTTATCACTTTCTGGATATGTATTGACATTACATTTCAGAATACATATCTTAATTTCTTGCGTTTCAAACATGTCGAAAAAACACTTCATTCGTACCTCTGTAAAGCTGGTTTTCAGTAATTTAAGTAAATAGAGTTCAGTGCTTTGCCAAGATCATTTAGCCAGCCTTTTTGTTAACTTCCACCTCATTAATGATTTGAATTCTGACCATTAGGCTGCATGCAGCCCTATCACCCTCATGTTACAACTCTCCAAAGTGTTTTATTTATGATGCAAAAAGGTGATCAGTAGAATGTTTATTCATCCTTAGTTCCATCATTAGTTATTGACTTGGAAGGGAAAGCCGGTGTGAGAAAATGATAAACATTTTCAAGACCAAATTTAAACTTTACTTACAACAAATAACATGAATAAGATGCTTAAGACTAATTATGAAGATACAGTTACCTATAGACTAAACAGAGTATGTCAGAACTGATTTATATAATGTATCTCAGAGGGTATTTTATCTTCTTTTTTTCAGGACAAATGGTATGGATGGTAAAAATGATGCAGTAGAATCTCAAGTATCTGAGATCATGAATGGTGACACGGCACCAAGTCAGTCCCCAGACTATGACAGCCTCGCTGAACGACTTGCCTCACTAGGTGTGTCCACAGATGGTGCCATGTCTGAAGTAAGTTGCTTTGTTGTTTTTGTCAAGTGTATGTGTTTGTCAATCAATACAAAATGGATTTTTAAATTTGGTTCAGTATTTTACTGAAGTTCATAAATCAATAATAATTCATGCACAATAAAATCCATTGTTAGAATAACAGTGTAATGTGTGTAGTGTCTGTAGGTTACTGATAGAAGAATCTTAAGACTGCTACTTCACTACCCAGCTGTTAATATTGATGTTTTTGTCATTCTGTCAGATTATACATAGAAATAACTGGTTATCCCCTTTAAATGTTGGGTACTCCTTTGGGGATGTGGGTTGAAATAGATCTCTGTAGGTATATTTGTTCATTTCAGGTTTGCTGTAAGTTATCATAAGGTTTGATGGACTGAAAATGTTAGTATCTAACACTGCAGACAGTGGTACATGTTGTAATAACTTCCATAAAAAAAATGTTGATAATTTTGATTGAGCTTATTGTATTTATCCATGGTGGTTTATGATGCTAATATTGTGAGTGCCAGTGAGCAGTTTACATGTCGGTCATCTGAAGTATGTTGAAGGTTAATGCAATATTACTATGTATTGCTACTTTAGTCATGTTAGCAATACCTCATCTAGTGTTCATCTTGTATGAATGAGGTGTGCATCAGTTGTCATTGGTTAAATTTGCCTGCAGGATGGAGATTTTGATTTGGAGCTTCAAGACCTCTCCGATGACAGTGAATCGGAATATACATTTGATGAAGAAGATGAAGTGAATGAGAGAGGCAGGGACTCCAGTGAAAGGCCTCCTGAAAATGGTACCACTGCATCTGGGAACAATATCAAAAATGATGCTCATGGTACCATGCAACTTGTCCCTTTAGGTGAGTTTTATCATGCACTATATTTCTTTCATGCGTGTACATGTTCATGGAATTTATTGAGATATTTTAGTTAATCATGATCCACTGAATCATGTCATTATGGTCATGGCTGTGGTACAGTATGGATGATATGCTGTTATTTTGGAGAGTTGGGCAGAGTACCTAATGTATATGGTGCTGTGGAAGTTTACCAGAACTTAAGCATGTATTATTTTTCTTTTATTACATTTTCAGATGTTTTCAGTGAAACCAATATGAAACAAGTAAAAATGTTAGGATTGAGCATGGAGACTATATAACGGGGAGTGGTCACTCCTCGAAAAGCCCCTTAGCGTATGCCTCGGCTCGTCACGTGACTAGTGTAGCCAATATGGCGGCAACTTAGTTTTTAAGATTGAGCCCGGTTTATTTTCAACAGCTGATTACATTCGCTGAGTGTTGTGACAACTGAAAACTTACATGTAGACGATAAGTTACCTATTCTGTCACTTCATTTTAAGTCAAATAATTGTTATTAGTGTCAGTATTAGTACAGTAGATTTGTAGTAAAGTTTCAAGTCGGCATGTTGTAGGTCACTGGCTTCAATTCTCGGTACACAGCGAAGAAAGACTAAATTCTATTGCTAAAAACTTCTTTCACATATTCGTTTATTTTTTAGAAGGGAAATTCACCTTTAGTTGAAAGGTATTTGCAGGTAATAGGGATAGTTTTATAACTGTATAAAAATTGTTAGGATGTATTTGAGGTGTGTGAAAAATGTGACATATTGCCGATCTTTTCTGATTCGTCATTGAAATACTACACTGCGATGTTTGAGTGTTTCTTTTTATTGTTCTAAAAGCTTCTTTCACATACACCTTTAATTTTCATGAGGGGAATATCCCATCAGGTGAAAGCTGTTTGCAAGTAATAGTGATAGTTTTATAAAAAAAAATTAATTGTTAGGGTGTATTTGATGTGTGTGAAAAATATGACATATCACCGATCTGATCTGATCCGCCATTGAAATACTACTCAGCGATGTTTGAGTGTTTCTAGTTATTGTTCTAAAAACTTCTTTCACATACACCTTTAATTTTCATGAGGGGAAAATCCCATCAGGTGAAAGCTGTTTGCAAGTAATAGTGATAAGTTTATAATTTTTAAAAAATTGTTAGGGTGTATTTGATGTGTGTGAAAAATATGACATATCGCCGACCTGTTCTGATCCACCATTGATGCTTGTGATGCTTGAGTGTTATAGTTCTAAAACTTCTTTCTTTCTTGTTGATCTTAGTATTTGACAAAACTGGAAAGGTGTTTACAACACTTTGTGATAGTTTTAAACTTTCTGTTTTTGAGGGTTGTTTGACAGTGTCAGTTAACATTCTGTCAATGTGCATGCTATTCCACACATGCAATAAGATATCTGAATTAATTACTAATGTAAAAAATGTCTCAAACTAGAGTTTTAAAAAAAATAGGACAGCTGATGTTAACACATGTGTTCTAGCGATAGTTTTGCATTTGGGGAGGGATGGCCTTGGTGTGTCATTTATTCTTTCATTCATTCACATATGTATTTCTTTTGTTCTTTTCTTTCTTTCATTCATTCACATATAATTCTTGCTCTTAGTTCTTGCTATAATTCATTCATTCATTCATTCATTCATTCATTCATTCATTGTAAAATTCCGACTGATAAACTGGCTGAAGTACTGTTAAACGCAGCCGAAGTTGTGCTGGGAACGAACCAAGCCACTGTGTGCGTTGGAGCATGACGAGGCACATGCTAATTAGTACAAATGGTAAAGAAAGCAAGCAAGGGAGTGACCTATACCTGTTGTAGATTATCCCTGGTTTGAGGTAGTTTATCATTTATGATTGATATTTGATGATGTTCGTGGCTTGTATAACTGGACCACCATGGAGACCAGGGTTACTGTGTGCACCAGTTAGCTATGGGATGTTGTAAGTATAAAATAGATTGGGTGGTTAGATTGATATGATTTAGATGGAATATTGTTGACTGTGTCATTGAACAACTTTCACTCACTCACCGAACTGATGTTTGATTTAGCCGACGATGATGGGGAAGAGATTGACAGTGAGGAAGAGAGAGACCTCCTGAAGGAGATAAGAGAAGAAATCCAGAATAAAGTGAAAGAAGAAATGAAGGATGAGCTCCAGGTGTACAAGGCCAAGCTGAAGGCCATCGAAGGTGGCCAGTTGCCTGGAGACAAGGAGAGACAGGAGCAGGAGGAGCAGGAGGATGAGAACCTTGACCCCAAGATAAAGGAAGCACTTGTGAAGATGAGGAAGCTGGATCGGGATTCTGAACAAGAAACTGAAGCGTGAGAGGGAGGTGAAGAGAGACAGAATCCTCTTGGAGAGAAGGTACACATACTGTCATGATGTTTACATGGACCAACTTATGTTATGATCATTTCAGCTTGGTGTGAAAGGGAAATGATCAAAAACTTGCTGCTGTTTATCCGTGTTCATTGGATTAATCATGAAGAGTGGATAGTTTGGTGCTTCTGGTTACGACTTATTTTTGGTCAGATTACTGAAAATGCCATGTCTTTGTACCTTAGTTTCATTTTCAAATTTCACTGTCATGATAATTTTTTTTGTCAATGATTTTTGAGGCAAGCATTACTTGAAGATTTTTCAGATGCCTGGTTCTTGCCTTTTGTCCAAATGGAAACAATGGTAATGCTTTGACCACCAAGATTTATGCATTTGAACATATAAATTTTGATGTACTTCAATTAATTATTTTTGCAGGATCCGTGATGAAATCCAAAACCTAAAACCAGAAGGTCGTGAACACAAAGAAGTGAAGGTGAACACAGAGAAATTTGTGGCTCTAGCCCTGCCCCCCAGTCACAATGAAGGTAACTGACACTCACTTCTTTGTCTTAACTTGTCTGGAACAGTCCTGAAGTGTAGCCTTTCCTTTTGAAGGTGTGTAAATATCTTAAGATTAAATGAGGTGTAAGTCAGTTTGTGTGTAACCAGAATATATTGTTTCATCTCAGGTGTGCCAGTAGAGACAGAACCCGCTACCCCAGTGTTTCAAACTCAGCTGAATGAAAACGAGTTTCAGGAGATGAAAGACAAGGCAAGCAGGAAGACGAGATCTGATGGAGGTAGGAGTATAGGAAAGCTACAAGGTCCTGTCTGTAGCACTAGTATTGTCATCATACAAATCTTTGTGTATTGACAGTTCTCTTGTGATTGTGTATGAGGGAGATGAAATACAGAGAGAGCAGGATGTGTAAATAATTGTCTTGTGTGGGAAAGCTGTTAAACTTAAATAACAATAAGCATTACAGTGGGGCAAAGAGCAAAGTTTGCACAGGGTAGAACCATGATGCTTTCAGAAGTCTGGGAAAATGTAGTGAAGTTAGGGACCATTCATAATTTATGGGGTGGGGTGTGATGATGATTTTTATGGAGAAGCATGTACAATGTGAATGACACCTCCCCCCAAAACACCCCCCCCCCCCCACAATAAATTATGAACATTCCCTTACACAATCTCAACCTATTTCCAATTGGAATATTGTTTGTGTTTTCAATACCATACTCTGTATGATGGCACAGACTGTCTTCTGATTTTATACATTGACCTCTGTTCAGTATTGCCTGCTTACAAGTGCTGGTATTGGCATACAACCTGCCATACGATACATCACGATGCTAAAATTTTAGTCACAACGACATATTGCCAAAGTATCGTGCACTGAAGCTGCGATACGATACGAATCCCGATATAAGGGTGACGATACGATACGCATCACGACACTAAAATCTTTATTTTTCCTTATCCTGACTCATGCTTATTTGCTTGTCTTCTTCTTCTTTGCGAACACAGTGGAACACTTGTATCTCCCAATTGAAGTTCCCTTCAATGTAAAATCACTAATTAGTACTCACCACGAGTTATCTTTCCCCTCGCAAGCTCGGGAACGAGGGCGCCACCTCCCACCATGTGCCTCACTCTCTCCTTCTTCGCCCAGTGAGCTGGACGTGAGAGCGCCTGTGTCTCCCTACACACTATATCCTTTATTTATATTTAGTTTGGTACCTCTTATATTCATCTATAGAGGTGTAACTAGTATCCTTATTCAACATGCATTGATAATTATTTGTGTTTCTGCTGCTTTATTCACGGTTCGCCGTGTTTGCTCAGCAGTTTGCGTTAATGAAAATCTGCACTGTTTGTAAATTACGTTACTCTGCTACCGATCCGCATTTAATATGCCCTAGTTGCATAACTCAATGCTCTATTGTTTCACGCTGCAAATTATGTATTAATTTGTCTAATTCTGCCTTTGATAAATATTTATATTCCGTCTTGAGACGGGCGGCAGATAGATCTCAGAAACAATCTTCAGTCATGGCTAATAGATCAGAGTCAGATATACCCTGTCAACTGTTGGCGGACGACCCTCTACCGTCTGGTGTTCCGCCTGAGTTACGTTGGGGGGATAAGCGTGGGACGCAGTCCGCTATATCCAAGAAGCGACCTGCATCCCAGGACGTTCCATCATCACAGTCTAAGACTAGAAGAGCTTCCACGTCGTCTCAACGTACGCTCAGAACCCCCAGGTCTACAGCTTCGGCTCAAAAGGGAAATCCACGAGGCTACTAAAAACTTTGCTTCTGACATTCTACCTGTTTCAGAATTGTGTTTATATGATGATGACATTCCGATTATCATTCCAGATGTACGTCATAAGAAGCGACCAGTATCGGCTACCGTCACTTCAGCGCAGATCAACACGCAACCAGAGATGCCTACGCTGACGCCTGAGATTATAACTGAGGGTCCTGTCACTATCACAGAGAGGACACCCTCAACGCCAGCGCAGACCGTCCCAGACGACCTGGTTGAACCAAATCATGATATTGATGGAAGACCGATACGGTTTACAGAGGCCTCAGAGCCGCGGGCCCCAGAGCCCAACCCATGATAAGTCATACAGGGCCCCAGAGCCCGCCTTGACTTCGCGTAGGGCCCTAGAGCCCACAAACGCACCTCCACGAAGGGCAACCCAGCCCGTAGCGAAGCCTTCGCGAAGAACGTCCCAGGCCGCCTCCACGAAGGATCCAGAGCCTCACCAGTTGCGAAGGGCTTCGCGGAGGAGGAGTGCTTCACCGAGCTCACACCCTGTAGAACACAGAGGTCGTTCGCGAAGCAGGCTCCCATATAATGATTCGGACTCTGACTCGATACCTTCCCGAAGGCCTTCACGAAGGTTAAGTGGCTCCAAGTCATCTTCACCCAGAAGATCTAGAAGGGATTCATCGAGAGCTTCACGAAGCCACCAGCGTCACGCCGGGAAGTCTCCTCAAGGTCTCCCTATACTAGCCACTCGTCAGTCCATTTACCACAATCTTCTCGTCGATCTTCTTACAGATCTAGGACTCCACCTCACTCTATTATATGTGATCCTACGTCAGAAGAGGAAGAAGGTATCGTATTCTCAGATGCAGAAATTAGATACTGGATGGTGAATGGATTAGAACTTGCTTCCCCGTCTAAGAACAAGAACTCAGCTCATACTTATTTGATGAAGGAAGATGATGCGGACACTATCACCTTACCTCCTATTGACCCGATAGCAGCGGTTCCAGCTAATCTGGATACAGCCTTTACCAAATCTACGAAATTTCAATCAACCCATTCTCCGGTTTTCAACGCCAAGAAATTTGCAGGTCACAATATGGACTCCTTTTTCAAGGCCCAAGAGATTGATGACAACTTTAAGTTAATCAGTGATGCCAAGTCCAGAAATTACAGAATAGACAATCGCAAATTAGCCCAGTTGGATACCATTTCTAGGAGAATGTTTTTTGGATTGAATAGATCTAGAACTGTCAATGAAACTCTCATCACCAAGTTCAAAGATTCTACAGAGGAGGAAGATAGAATGATCTACTCGGACTTTACTCATGCAGAAAAGAGACCATCAGTTCCTTACAGATCACTTGTCAGCGCTTACTGAAACTACTAACATGGCTCGTCGTCAGGGTCTACTAGCCTCCTGCAATTGGGATAATCAATTTACGGAATCACTCTACGCTGCCCCGTGGTCATCGCCCTTACTATTTGGTGGTAACATAGACAAGGTCTCCAAAGAGGTGTCTAAGGACTCTAGAGAGGTGCTTATGATCAAGTCCATGGATAAGTTAGCGAACGTCATTAAGCAATCATCCTTGAGATACTCTGGCAAGTCTAAATTCTCTGGACTACAGAAAGCACGGGACAAGAAATTGGCTACAGCAAAAGGTCCCAGGGAATCTTTTCATCGCCCATACAGCAATTTCAGAGGAGGATCAGCAAGAGGCAGATCATCCAGAGGTTCCCGCGGATTTAGACGATGAAATTCAGGTTCGGAACGACTGGAGTCTTCCATCCCCAGCCGTTCCAGTACAACCTTCTCAAGTGGGTGGACGCCTTCAGCTGCACTGGGAAAACTGGGGACTACTACAAGATCCTTATGTATCCAACATCCTACAGCACGGATATCAAATACAACTCAAGGCCACACCTCCGTTAACAGTCACCCCTCCAAGGTTCGACTTTCAACCGGCACAACTACCTATGTTAAGAGAAACAGTAGCTACTCTGCTAAGCAAACAGGCCTTAGAAGTTCTGGATCAGCGAAACATCGTACCAGGTTTCTACTCCCCAGTTTTCCTAGTGCCCAAGAAAAATCCCAAGGAAAAGTTTCGTCTCATATACAACATGAGCATCTTCAACAAAGACTATCTAAGCAAACCGCCAGCTGGCGTTTAAGATGATACACTTACCGCAACTTCGCACTTAATTGTCCCAAAGATTACATGGCCAGCATAGATTTGCAAGATGCATATCTACACATTCGGTTCATCCCAATTCAAGGAAATATCTAAGATTTATCCTAGACGGGAAACACTACCAATGGAAAGTACTTCCCTTCGGAATCTCATCGGCCCCTTGGGTATTCACAAGAGTGACAAAGCCTATTGTCGCATACCTACATCGTCAAGGTCTTCGCAGCGCATTTTACCTAGACGACGGGATACAAGTGGATCCAGATCCACAGCGTCTCAGACTACAGCTGAACTTTATAATCAAGTTACTAACACAACTAGGATGGTTAGTAAATCTACTCAAGTCGGACCTAGAACCAACGCAAGATCTGCATTTTCTAGGTATACGATTTCTAACAGCCCAGAATCGTATAGTAGTCCCGGAGGACAGATGGATCAAGATCCAACAGTTAATCCCACAAGCCTTACTCTCTGCTACCACTACGACAATGGCAGATCCTATTGGGACTACTCACATCAGCCCAAGACTTGACAGTCAGAGGCAGGCTTCAATTATGTCCGTTACAAGTCCTCATCAATGCGCATCTCGAGGACCCTCTACCGTTCAGTCTACCAGATCACGTCAAACCTCATCTACTCTGGTGGACCAAGAGATTGAATGTTTGCGTAGGCGTCTCCTTATTAGAGCCGGAATCGGAAACACATCTCTACGTAGACGCGTCACTACAAGGTTGGGGAGCCCACCTCGCCTACAAGACAGTGTCAGGCCTATGGAGCAATCAAGAGAGCTAATGCTAGAGATGCAAGAAGTCATAAACGCCATAAGTCAATGGAGCAACCTACTACAGAACGCTCAGTTGATGATTCACACAGACAATTCGACAGTGGCATTTTATGTGAACAAACAAGGCTCAACAAGGTCACCGAACCTACTGTCCCTATGTTTCCGGATTATTCGATCTAATCAACAATCTAAACATACATGTCAGAGCTTGCCACATTCCAGGAGCAAAGAATTTATTAGCAGACACTCTCTCTCGGCCACAGCTACCGTCGCCGACAGAATGGATGCTCCACACAGAGATATTCACTCAAATAATCATGGAAATAGGATCTCCACTAGTAGACCTATTCGCCACTCGATTCAACAAACAACTGACAACGTTCGTATCGCCAGTTCCAGACCCACTAGCATGGGCAACGGACGCACTAAGCATATCGTGGGAGGGACTCAACGCGTACGCTTTCCCGCCACCAGCGTTAATCCCACAAGTCTTACAGAAAATCAGTCAAACGCAGAGCCTCCATCTGATTTTGGTCACGCCCCTACTGGCCAGCGAGAACGTGGTTTCCAAATCTTATTCAAGAAATCGGACAACCAATTCTATAACTTCCAGAACGCTCGGAATCTGTTGATACATCCGCACACCAAACAAGTGCACAGAAAACCAGAAGTATTCCAACTTCACGTATGGATTGTATCAAGGCATGTCTGAATAAGAGAGGTTATTCAGCCAGAGCGGCAAAAGCAGTCACGCTTGCACTGTGTAACTCAACTCGCAACTTATACAATGACAAATGGCACAGTTTTGTCAATTATGCTGCAAAGAAAGGATTTACAGCCAGATATGCTACTCATCCTCAAGTGGCGGACTACTTATGTTATCTACGACAAACTAAGAATCTAAAAGGCTCAACTTTGTCCACTTATCTTGCAGCATTAAGCTCTATCATAACTATGAGAACGGGCGTCAAGTTAACAAAGACTCCAGAGTTACTCGCTTTACTACGAGCATTCCGATTGGAGGATCACAAGCGGAAGTTTCACGCTCCAGCTTGGGATCTAAATATAGTGCTCCAACACCTCACAAGTGAGGCTTATGAACCGTTAGAATCTACATCGTTTGAATCACTGACCCAGAAAACTTTGTTCCCTCTAGCCCTAGCCACGGCTGCCAGGATGTCGGAGGTTCACGCTTTGGATTACGAGAGAACACGCTTTGATGATATTCATAACATCGTACATCTGGGACTACGCTGGGATTTTATAGCTAAGAACCAATTGCCAGGTCAACCTGACAGATTATTCCACGTCCCAGCTCTCTCATCCATTCTTGGACCTCATGATACGATGGATCTATCACTATGCCCAGTAAGAGCACTGAAAATATATCTCCACCGATCCAAACAGAGGAGAGGAAAATTCAAAAGATTATTTATCCCTCTATCTACGGCTACGCACATGACGGAAGTCTCACGTACTACTATCTCAATTTGGATCAGAACTGTCATACTCACGTGCCTACAAGGCTGCAGGACTCGACCCTCCAAGAGCATCTAATCCTCATGAAATTAGAGCATCAACACTTGCTCTACTTGGCAACTGCTCTTTGAATACCATAATGGAGGGTTGTTTCTGGAGATCCGATATGGTGTTTGCCAACCACTATCTGAGAGATATGACCACCAAGGACGTCTCAGGTATCCACCATTTCGGTCCCATGGTCCTCGCTCAACAGTTGAGTTACAGATTTATACTTATCTGATATCAGTACTAAATAGCTACATGCTATATATATATTTTGCTTAAGTTCAATCTATTATCTTAAGCTCAGTACTATGGTTATTATATCATACAATATATTAGCTAACAACTCTAGAAGTTTTGCTATTATATTTAGCTTAAGTTTCATCATATCTTAAGCTCAGTAATATGGTCACATTTTATATACATATTAGCTAACAAACTCTACGGAGTTTTTGCTATTATATAGCTTAAGTTAAATTATATCTTAAGCACAGTACTATACTCATATAGCTTAAGTTTATGCATATCTTAAGCTTAGTACTTTGGTTACTTCATAAAAGTATATTAACTATAAACTCAAGGAGTTTATGCTATCACATTAACAACTTAAGTCTACTAGTCTTAATCTTTGTACTAATGTTGTATATACTTTATCATAATAAGTATATTGTAATAGTTATATTGTAATAACCCATATATGGCAGCTGATAAGTTAACAGCAGGAATTCATCAGTTCAGTGCCTTTATGAAGTTCCCATAGGGTTATTACAGTCATTACAATTCAAATCACTAATTATCCAAATCCAAAGTATTATATATTCCCACCTCCATAGCCATCGGATTCTACAAGCAAATAAGCATGAGTCAGGATAAGGAAAAATATGTAATTTTCTGAGTAAAATTGATATTTTATACTTATCCTGACTCATGAGGTAAGCCCTCCCGTCTTCCCCACATAACACTTTGGATTTCCCTGTAAATTCAAGTGTTGGGCTCGCTACAAAAGGAGAGAGTGAGGCACATGGTGGGAGGTGGCGCCCTCGTTCACGCGCTTACGAGGGGAAAGATAACTCGTGGTGAGTACTAATTAGTGATTTTACATTGAAGGGAACTTCAATTGGGAGATACAAGTGTTCCACTGTGTTCGCAAAGAAGAAGAAGACTAGCAAATAAGCATGAGTCAGGATAAGTATAAAATATCAATTTTACTCAGAAAATTACATAATTCTAACACCAACTATAAAACACACGAATATCAAAACAAGTCCATTTTAAAGTATTTCATCGAATTCTGCCAGCCTTTTTCAATGTTCTTCCGGAAACGAGATACTTAAGTTTATACACGGACTTTGTGAATAATAATAACATGTGAGCTCTATGTCTGACACAGTTCCTGACGCAAGAATTTCCGAGAAAACATTTACTTATGAAGGGAAAATAAGTAAGCAAATATTTTAATCATCAAACAAAAGTGAGTCTCTTTTCTTTGACAGATATCGCAATTCGGCAATATTCAAAGTTAAACATCGATGTATCGTTGCCCATTTGAAGTATTGTACTGAGATATACGACAATGTAAAAACTTTGTATCGATTCACTGTATCGGCGGCCCATGGATCGATGTATCTATGCGTATCGATGAATTGTCACACCACTACTGCTTACTAATCAATAACTTTGTTACCTGCCAAATAATAAAGATTTGTGTGAAAGGTATAGCCATGATTGCTATAGAATCTGTGTGTATGTCAGCGTTTATGGAAAGATATTAAAGGTGGAATCAGGTAATTGTAGTGTCACAAATCTGTAGTTAACCTGTAGTAGAACTGTTCATCAACGGAATGCTGTAGATGATGACACTTTGTGTTATGCTGTGTGAGTTGTATTGCAATTGCCAGGCGGTATTTGATCTATCATTGATTCCAATAATTTATCACACAGAAATGGCTGGCTTGGAGACACAGTCGGTAGCTGGAGATTCCTCCAGTCGAACTGGTGAGGATGGAAAGAAAAGCAAGAAAAAGAAGAAGAGGAAGGATTTCATAAAAAGGAATAAAGAAGTGTGTAATTAGAGTTGTAACTTTTGAGTGATGATCTGAATGTTTGTAAGATCATTCATGTAATTCTATGTGATACAGTCAATACTGACTGCAAAGCAGTGCTTATGCTAAAAGCATCTAAAACCATGAAATGGATTATGTGACATCATAAATCACAAGTTTTTACCATTCTGTTAACATATGGCTTATTTAGTTGACATGGTCAATAGACTATGCTCTATAGACGTTGGACCAATCCTAGTCGAGGTCAACCCATGAAGATCCAGCTTAGAATTGATCTTCAGTAACCCATGCTTGTTTGTAAGAGGCGACTAATAGGTCAGGCTCGCTGACTGGGTTGACACATGTCATCATATCCCAATTGGCGTAGGTCAATGCTCATGCTCTTGATCACTGGATTGTCTGGTCCAGATTCGATTATTTACAGACCGCCACCATATAGCTGGAATAATGATATAACTAAACCCACTCACTCACTCACCTAATCCAGGTCATATACGGTAGACTTAATTAGTAACTTGTGTGATGTAGTCATTACCTGCTGAAATGATATAGATGTATATTTTACACAGTTGGAGTTTGCAGACACACAGAATGGGTTTTGAATGGTTTGATTTTGACTTGCTGAGATGTTGCTGCAGGTAGTGCCCCGTTAATGGCCGACCTATATTTCAGTTGGCAGCGAATGCTGATGAGATGATTGCCATGACAGAGGAGGAGAGGGAGAGAGTAGGGGCACTGCTGACTGACCTGGACTCAATGTCAGACCTGCCGGAGGAGATGGACAGCGTGATAGAGGTGAGAGACAAAAAAAACAAAATCCGTTGGAACAATAACTCCTATTCCCAAATTCAACAACTAGTATCTGCTAGTAGTTTATTACTACTCAAAATATGTATGTTCAAGTACTTGTGCTATGATTCTGAGTAAGGAGTATCTATACCATGGCTTGAACTGTGTCGTCAGTGAGGAGCATCTTCACTATTCCATGGCCTGAAGTGTATCATAGGGATGGAGCATCAGTAATGACCATCTGGACAATACCATGGCTTTGTATCGCAAACAATCAGATAAATTATATCTGACTTCATGTATACTGAACAACATTAGAAACACACCACCCATATAATACGAAATATCCCCGTCAAACTGAAATGTCCCCATGGTATCTGAGCATCGTGGTGCATTTTAGTGTGGTGCGTTTCTAATGTTGCTCAGTATATTATTGGTATACAGCCATAAAGTTTACCTACTTTGGCAAACATTGTGCCATTCTTGAACTTGCTTGTACAACTCTAATAAGATAAATTACATCTGATTTTATATAGTATTGGCACACTGCCACAGCTACTTACCTTTATAAACATTGTGCCTGGAACTTTATATTTTAAACAAACTTGGTACAACCATAGAGTTACTTCCCTTTGCTTTTATTGTCCATCACATGAACTTTGTTCCACTGTCCATACCAAGGTGAATGTACCTACTATGCTGGAAATAAAAATTAAAAAATACCATGGCAAGCACAATGTCATGTGCCTTGACTCTACCATGACTGCATGGGCTATAACGTCATCAAGAAGTCTCACTCACATCAACTTCACCAGTAACCCAGTTGCAGGCCTGTGTGACAGTAATCCATGCCTTGGGACACAGTCAGCCAGCTGATAACAGGTCACCCACCAAGTATCCACCATACTCAGCAGCCGTGGATGGTCACCATAGCAACCAAATGACTAGCCCGGCCAGTTATCTTACACAGACCCCGCAACTTGCTCCATCTTGACATTATGTATTTTGTCAATGTTTTATGCCAACTTCAGGATCCAAGTGGAGACAACCCATTCCAGATGCTTCCACTTAGACCCGGGGAGGGCTACTGTGGGGACGAGGTGGAGGTGAAATCGATGGCCCAGATTGATGGACAACTGAGGGGGCTTCTACCTGAAGAGGAGTACAACTCGTTAGTGTGTGGCACACCTTTCAGCAGTGCCAGAGAACCACAGGTAGATATAATGCATTACAATGTGTTCACGTGCCAGTGTTGGTAGCTGCCCAGTGGAGACTCGCATGGCAAGGTGAATAACAAGGAAACATTTGAACAAAACATGGAAAATCTGACAAGTTTTTGAAACAAAAAGTGAATCTTAGGATTTCAGTTTTTCAGATGTAATTTGTAGGTGCCTGTATCGACTGAACCTAGTTGATGCATGTTGCATGTATGCTACTCCACTTTTGATAAGGATGTTTTTCATCTTTCCATGATACACAAGACAGATTTCTCATAAGTACATACTTATATAGAATGACATAGGTCATTGTATCCCTGTCAAAAGTTGAGTGGTATAGTTTGATATCCAGACTGCCTGGAGTGTCATGGGCTGAATTCTCTGTGTCTTTATAGGAGATTATCTGCCAACTGTCTATCATTGTGTTGATTCCATTTTATTTGGTTAGTTTCCACTGAAGAAAGTCAACACTTAACCCCCTGGATGCCGAGGTTTTTTCTGGTGCACATTTTCATAAGGTTTAAAATTACACAGAAATATAGAATATTAAATTTCCTATCCGATGGTATACAATCAAGTGCAAATACATCTAAATGTTGTCTGAAATTTTGTCATGCGTTAAAAAACAGTAAATTTCTCTGCTTTTTATCAAGCACCAATAAAAGCACTGTGCGATGACTTTTTTAATTTGGCATCTTTACGGAAAGTGTGAGCAAATACCACCTGATATCTGAATGACATAAGTATATATCAAATGGGTTTGTGTCCTTGTGTGTAACGTTATGCACTCAATCTTAAAAATGACTCGTGATAAATGTCGAAAATGGATTTTCCTCTATGGCTTCAAACGAGGGCAGAGAGGTCATTTCCGCACAAGATAAGGGGGCATAACTCCGCTATGCTAAAGACTACGTCATTGTTACTCAGGTCACTTGGAGAGAAGTTGCTGTGGATACGGATACTTAATTTTCGTGATGTTTTGTTCACAGTGAACCAAACTATTCAAATACAAAGATCCCTATTGTAAGTGTATACGTTTTGGTAGTATCCCAATTTTTAAGAAAAGATGACAACTTATTTCATGAGAAAGCATGTAATAGCGATTTAGATGGCTCTATCCAATATGTAAATTACATGTACTTCTTACATTCCCATATTCTCCTGTTTGAGTTGATGCATCTGGACTAATTTAGCACCATGTAACATTTAGATTGTTTTTGTTTATAAATAATTAAACAAAAAATTACTAATTTTTAGTAAATTGGAAACTTCAGTGTTTTCTCTTCACCAAAGAAAAAAAATATTGATCCAATTATACCAAAAATATTTCATTATGAAGAAAATATTAGACTGGGTACCACTCGACGTGATGTGCCTGAAGTCAACAATGGCCGTTATTTGCGGCTGTGTGCCGAGACATTTGGCGAACACATTTTTTATTCGCGGGCGTTTCGTTTTAAGGTACATAAACTAATTGAAGATTATATATTTAGAAAGCTGAGAATTATTGCATTCCATACATAATTCAAATGACACGTAAACCCGACTTGTTGAATAATTATTGCAAGTTTTATTTGGGGATGTCATTATGCTACTCTCCTGTCGAATGGGTTCAACAGTAGCATTGAGAGGATTAACAGAGTACTACCCATATCTTGAAATGTATTAAAATTACTGAAAAAATTACAGCATTTTAGTTGACGCCGTGGCTTGTTTTATGTATTTTGTGACATTGGTATGTTGATTAGTATATATCTTACCTAATTTCCATTAATTGCATAACTGGTCTTGGTTTCTATATCAGAATTTAACTCTCTTTTGACAGAATATAAAATGACAGATTTTACTATTTATTATTACTATTATTATTATTATTATTTTTGGATATTTATATAGCGCACTTATCCATGCACTAGTACATGCTCAAGGCGCTGGTATTTTTCCCTCGATCATTGGATGTCAATCTCAACTCCCTGGGGACATACTACTCTTGCTACCACAAGACACACCAAGTTATTGTGACTTTCCCGTCCTTACGAGGTACCCATTCACATCTGGGTGGATTGGGAAACATAGTCACAGTACTTTTATATGTACTTCTTTATGTGAACAACATGTGCACCTGTTTGACATCAATGTAACATACATGAAAAGAAATATTTCACAACATCCGAATATATTTTTTAGGATAAGACCTTTCTTTGTTTATGATTATAGTCCGTTGGGCTCAAAAGCGGACCAATGAATTGCTATCTAACTCGAAAACTAATAAACATAAAATACTCAATGAAACGCTGATCATAATGAAAACATCATACCCACTCTGTGAGGTTTTTGCACAATTTTTGTCTTAAAAATAATAAAGTTGTTTAACAATCTATCATAAAAATATTGACACAGTTCACTATTTGTTACGAGGGAGGAGTGCAGAGAAAGGGACAGCCAGGTGTTCGAGAACGGATGGAGACGGCACAGCACAGGTTAATGAATAAATAACTTTGTCTGTGAATGTGCTTCTCGAACACCTGGCTGTCCCTTTCTCTGCACTCCTCCCTCGTAACAAATAGTGAACTGTGTCAATATTTTTATGATAGATTGTTAAACAACTTTATTATTTTTAGGACAAAAATTCTGCAAAAACCTCACAGAGTGGGTATGATGTTTTGATTATGATCAGCGTTTCATTGAGTATTTTATGTTTATTAGTTTTCGAGTTAGATTGCAATTCATCGGTCCGCTTTTGAGCCAAACGGACTGTATGTGGTTATTTCTCTTCATAAGTATACAATGAAAGATACAAAAAAATAGCTCTTTTTGTGTGGAAGTGTCAGAATAATGGTGTAAGGTTTGTCCAAATTAACACATGGCATGGTTTATTCATTTTACATCTTCCATAGAAATATAGTTACAGTTTGATATCCTGTCATCACAATATTTCTTAATCAAATATGAATTGATTATATGATCGAAAACAATGGTTGTGAATCATGAAACATTTCTGACAAAAGCACACCTGGCCAATCAATATACTTCATTGTTTTATCTATAAAATGACACAAACAAGTTCTATGAACAAGACAGTTCTTTTAAATATTTCATAAAATATATCAATCATTTTCATTAATATTGTCAGTTTTACTTACATGGTCAAATTAAATCACTATTTATTAATCTGTTCATATGGAACTGCAATATTGGTCCCAATATATTGAATATTGCACATCATAGAAACTAAAGTACATTTTGCAGTTATGCCTACGTTTAATCTTCTAACACTTCTGTAAAGGTTTAAAATATGGTGAACTACACTAAATGTGTCAAGTTTTTATGTAAATATTATTCAAACAGGCAAAAACTTTCAAAATTAAAAAACTTATACCTATATCCACATATCATATGATATTGAACAAGGCTAAATGTAGATTATGAAATTAGTTCCATAAAAAAATATCTGAACGATATGCAAAATATACACTATAATACTGAAAATGTAATCAGCAGGATAGGGTGATTGTGTTTATGCTTATTCACCTCAATAGAAGTTGCCAAATATGTACAACAATGTTGGCATATGACATCACTACCAATGACCAATTTCTGACAAAAATGGTGGCTTCGCTGACATGGGTACGTAGGATTTTGTGAGGACCTCTCCCTTGATTCAGGGATGGTTCGTACACATGTGATGTAAGTAATCAGAATGATTCTGACTATCTGTATATTGTTATAGGTTTTTGTCATTTTCATTGTAAATAAGAGAAGAAGCCAGAAATGCTGATAATTACCGTTGTCGTACGGTATGACTTTGCATCAGTGATGGCATCATGCTGCAATCTGACAATTTTGAATGAATATCATTGTATTGTATCTATTTTTAAATTTCCTATTTCTTGCTATGATACTCTTTCCAAGCATTTTCAAAAGTATTGATCCAATGCAAGCAACAAATAGACGAATGGATGTCAGAAATTTTGAGAAAATGCTACGCAGTGTAAAAATCGGAATTTTTGTTTGTTTACATTTCAAACAAGTGCAGTCTTTCGAGCACAGCCTTCGTTTTCACACCCAATATCTTTTGTTTTATTTCATCTAGACACTTGGTATTGGTGACAAAGACCATTTGTAATTTGATTCTAAAATGAATTGGGAATTCGGTGATGCATTTGTCATGAAATATATGTGATGTAATTGGCGTCTCAATTCCGGCCTTTGAGAAACGTGATTTGGTGAAACACTATCCAATATGGCGGAAAGCACACTTCGCCCTTTGTGTTAGTGGATTTTTTAAAACATCCCAACCAATTCTAGGTTCATGGGCAACGTTTCAGAATTACCATTAGTGATTTGATGAAAGACTGATATCAGTGATCATTAATATGCTATTTTTTACATTCAATACTCCAAGTAATTATCCGTTTTTACATTTCAAAACATACACCAAATAACGCTGTGAATCACGATTTCGTAATTTGTCAGAAATGGCAACATTTACGATGAAGCCTACTTTAAAAGGTTATTGTCTAAGATAATAGTGGATGGTATCAAGAAACAGGAAATTTCCTGCAGAAAATCGAAACTGTGAAGTGTATTTGTGTGCGTGATATATTTTGAATTTTATTTGACTTCAAAGTGAGGGTTGCAGAGGAAGGACATATATGTCCCTGTGGCATCCAGGGGGTTAAGGATGACATTTACAATATTTTAAAAGGATTTAATTTTATTTGGGATACATTTTTTGATAAGAAGAGGAAAGAAAACTCACTTTGAACTAAATGATTTATACAATATCTGTTTATTCTCCATTTATTCTTATGTTATTAGTATTTGTATACATAGTTTATGCATATTCCTTTCAATAATTTAATTTTGAAATTGGGAATAAATGTTTTAGGTAAATGATGACATTTCTTAATTTCTAAATATCACTCTTTGAATGTTAGACATTTGTTGAATTGTTATATTTTGTTTGAATTATTCTACTGTCTTGTTTCACTTTCATGATCAGCTTATTTTATATAGTTTGTTGTTTTTATTATTTCATTAGACATACCATTCACAGGCTCATATCTTTCACTGTCAAGTGTTAGGCAGTGTTACCATGGTTACAAGCAGGCAAAACACTATTTATGAACAATATTTTCTGAATGAATTTGAAAATATTTAGGCAAAAGCAATATATTTTTCAGTTTCAGTTCTGTTGATCATTGTGTATAATATAAGGTGGCTAAATACTAACGTGACACTGGTTAACATGAAACAAACTCAGGCAGATTAATAATCCTATTCCCAATCTAAGTTTTTTGTGATTTATTTTTTTAACATTGCAAAATTTTCTGTTGGCTATTCAATGAATAACAAAATATATTTTGTCTGGCCTTGAAAATTGTATTACACACAATCATTTAATGAAAGATGTCATATTTCTGTGTTAAACAAATATTTAATGACATCATATTTCTGTGTATTGACTGGTAACTGTAACACAATGTAACCTGGTGTGGTATAACTGTAGTATAACACATGTGAGGACACAGTATGACCTGTGGATGGTATGGCACTGATCACTGCATAGGTTTTGCTCACTCAGCACGTTTTCTTCACAGCACAAATTGTTCACTCGTGTGGACATTAGATCTGTTGGTGAAATAGAGCGCTATGGTGAACGAGCTCTCATTGAAACCAAAGAACAGAGAGAAATGCAGGCCAGGTTACAGAGGATTGAAGAACAACTAGCCAGATTCAAAAACCCTGAAGAATTGGAGGTATTTTGTACCCAAAAGTTAACCTTGACCTAACCATGACCTTTACACTTTGACCTTGAACTAACACATTCCTGAAACCTACAACCTTCAACCTTGACCTCTGCCGTACAGTATTAATCCTAACCTTGAAGTTTCAACGACCCATTATCTTCTTTTATAAATGACTATCCTGTTATGCATGACCTTGACCTATTGTATTCATTACCTTTTTGTTTTGCAACAAGTAGATTTTAACAGATAATAGTAGAAGCTTGCCCTTGTCTCACACCCTGCATGGAGAACATGCAGGTGCCTCATTATATACAGCATTACCTATCTGGTGTGTGATAACTGAAATTATTCCGGTGGGAATAACCAGATACATCTCCTGGATCTACTGAGTCACTTTGTCATCACATGACCATAACCTTGGAAAGAGTCACACTGTAGTTTAGAAAGAAGAAATTGATCATGCTCCTACGGTCCTGGAGTAAGATCCGTTGATCCAGATTCATGTCAAGACCCTGCCTAATGACACATACGTTGTTGTGTAATTATCTGTTATGTATTGGTATTACTGTGAATAGAACTGGCAATCTGTTGTAGAACAATCCACTGTTCACAGGTAGGTAGCTCGGTAGGAAGTCCTGGTTTCATTAGGCCCTGGCATCCGGTGCCATTAAATATATCAAGTGGTGTGACTTCTTTGACTGAATGTCGTCATGCCTCAATAGATGCACCTGATCACTAGAAACTTGGGCCGGTCTTGATTTCCACAGTGTGGCATTAATTAGGGAAGTTATTATGACAAAGCACTTTGCTTTTGTATTTGTACAGGTAATACAGGTGAGTGATTTTGTTCCTAATCAATTTTGCCTGACGAAGCGAACAAGGCTCATGCATGCATAGAGTGTTCCACATGATTTGACGTTTGTGTATGAGCTTCAGTTAGACATTGTATACACATAATGGATGATACGGGTCAAGGCTTATTCAGTGAAGCTCTGATAATCATCATGTGCAATTTCCAGCGACAGTCTCTGGATTTGCAGAGGAAGAGATTATAATGACAAGGACCTAAGTGGCAGCCTATATATTCTACTCACAGGAAGTAAAGGAACACTGTAGAGGGTTTCATTGTTAAGGTTTCACTCTGAAGGGTTTCACTGGAAAGGGTTTCATTGTTTTGGCTTCACTGCAGAGGGTTTCACTGGATAGGTTTTCATTGTGAATGGTTTCACTCTAAAGGGTTTCCCTGCATTCCCTTCTAGGTAACACGCAATTTAATGACGTTAACAGGTGCTGCAGTTATAACTGCACAACGTATATAAATTTGTGTTTGTCACATATTTTTGTCAAGGGTGAATTTAAGACTTCATTTGTAAAGGACAGGAAGCTTTGTTAATTTTGTAACACATAAGATATGTTTCATAACTGCTGAAATATCAACCCATTTTAATTTCATGATTTGTAGTTTTTCTTCATCTAGAAAAAATGTATTTCCTCCAAACAAAAGTGCTCATCTTCTTACAACTTCTTGTGATTTTAGAATAATTGGGAGATTTCATCAGCTGGGGCACTGTTGTCATTAAACTTCATTTACTTTTTCTTCTGAAAAAAATGAATACATTTTGTCCTTACATGTGTTTTATGAAGTAAATAATTTTTATAACATGTTAGGCTAAGATGTGTTGTATATTTGTTTGATAACAATAACAATTAGATTATCATGCTACATTCATGCAGTGGTTAATTGGAGCATGAGAAATTATGTACACGGTTTTATCACTTTTATGGTTTTAGCATGTATTCTTCATTGTTCTAGATGCTAACATGTTATTTCCCCAGATTGAGACACCAAGGTTATCGGATGATGCTTTGAAAGGCCTGATAGACCAGTGTGTGCGGTCTTTGTCTCGCTCATCCTACGCTGACGATGTGTCGGTCAATGAGTCGACACCCAGGTCAGTCTTACTACACAGTGTTACACATCTTCAGCCATGTTTCCACAGATATTACTGGATCTTTTTCATATCTGCTTCGCCACTCAACATTCTGGTATGATAAGTTTCCAGTACTCACAGTAGTTGGTTGTGTGTGCAGGGATTCATTCTGGTATGATAAGTTTCCAGTACTCACTGTAGTTGGTTGTGTGTGCAGGGATTCATTCTGGTATGATAAGTTTCCAGTACTCACTGTAGTTGGTTGTGTGTGCAGGGATTCATTCTAGTATGATAAGTTTCCAGTACTCACTGTAGTTGGTTGTGTGTGCAGGGATTCATTCTGGTATGATAAGTTTCCAGTACTCACTGTAGTTGGTTGTGTGTGCAGGGACTCATTCTGGTATGATAAGTTTCCAGTACTCACAGTAGTTGGTTGTGTGTGCAGGGATTCATTCTAGTACGATAAGTTTCCAGTACTCACTGTAGTTGGTTGTGTGTGCAGGGATTCATTCTAGTATGATAAGTTTCCAGTACTCACAGTAGTTGGTTGTGTGTGCAGGGATTCATTCTGGTATGATAAGTTTCCAGTACTCACTGTAGTTGGTTGTGTGTGCAGGATTCATTCTGGTATGATAAGTTTCCAGTACTCACAGTAGTTGGTTGTGTGTGCAGGGATTCATTCTGGTATGATAAGTTTCAGTACTCACTGTAGTTGGTTGTGTGTGCAGGGATTCATTCTGGTATGATAAGTTTCAGTACTCACTGTAGTTGGTTGTGTGTGCAGGGATTCATTCTGGTATGATAAGTTTCAGTACTCACAGTAGTTGGTTGTGTGTGCAGGGATTCATTCTGGTATGATAAGTTTCCAGTACTCACTGTAGTTGGTTGTGTGTGCAGGGATTCATTCTGGTATGATAAGTTTCCAGTACTCACTGTAGTTGGTTGTGTGTGCAGGGATTCATTCTGGTATGATAAGTTTCCAGTACTCACTGTAGTTGGTTGTGTGCAGGGATTCATTCTGGTATGATAAGTTTCCAGTACTCACAGTAGTTGGTTGTGTGTGCAGGGATTCATTCTGGTATGATAAGTTTCCAGTACTCACTGTAGTTGGTTGTGTGTGCAGGGATTCATTCTGGTATGATAAGTTTCCAGTACTCACAGTAGTTGGTTGTGTGTGCAGGATTCATTCTGGTATGATAAGTTTCCAGTTCACTGTAGTTGGTTATGATTCATTCTGGTATGATAAGTTTCCAGTACTCACAGTAGTTGGTTGTGTGTGCAGGGATTCATTCTGGTATGATAAGTTTCCAGTACTCACTGTAGTTGGTTGTGTGTGCAGGGATTCATTCTGGTATGATAGTTGGTTGTCCAGGACTCACAGTAGTTGGTTTCCAGCACTCACCGTAGTTGGTTGTGTGCAGGGATTCATTCTGGTATGATAAGTTTCAGTAGTACTCACTGTAGTTGGTTGTGTGCAGGGATTCATTCTGGTATGATAAGTTTCCAGTACTCACTGTAGTTGGTTGTGTGTGCAGGATTCATTCTGGTATGATAAGTTTCCAGCACTCACTGTAGTTGGTTGTGTGTGCAGGATTCATTCTGGTATGATAAGTTTCAAGTACTCACTGTAGTTGGTTGTGTGCAGGGATTCATTCTGGTATGATAAGTTTCCAGTACTCACTGTAGTTGGTTGTGTGTGCAGGGATTCATTCTGGTATGATAAGTTTCCAGTACTCACAGTAGTTGGTTGTGTGTGCAGCGATTCATTCTGGTATGATAAGTTTCAGTACTCACTGTAGTTGGTTGTGTGTGCAGGGATTCATTCTGGTGATAAGCTTCCAGTACTCACTGTAGTTGGTTGTGTGTGCAGGGATTCATTCTGGTATGATAAGTTTCCAGTACTCACTGTAGTTGGTTGTGTGCAGGGATTCATTCTGGTATGATAAGTTTCCACTGTAGTTGGTGTGCGCAGGGATTATTGATCACATGGTATAGTTGGTTCCAGTACTCACCGTAGTTGGTTGTGTGCAGGAATTACTGCAGGATTCATTCTGGTATGATAAGTTTCCAGTACTCACTGTAGTTGGTTGTGTGTGCAGGGATTCATTCTGGTATGATAAGTTTCCAGTACTCACTGTAGTTGGTTGGTATTGTGTGTGCAGGGATTCATTCTGGTATGATAAGTTTCCAGTACTCACTGTAGTTGGTTGTGTGCAGGATTCATTCTGGTATGATAAGTTTCCAGTACTCACTGTAGTTGGTTGTGTGTGCAGGGATTCATTCTGGTATGATAAGTTTCCAGTACTCACTGTAGTTGGTTGTGTGCAGGGATTCATTCTGGTATGATAAGCTTCAGTACTCACTGTAGTTGGTTGTGTGCAGGGATTCATTCTGGTATGATAAGCTTCCAGTACTCACTGTAGTTGGTTGTGTGTGCAGGGATTCATTCTGGTATGCATGATAAGTTTCCAGTACTCACAGTAGTTGGTTGTGTGCAGGATTCATTCTGGTATGATAAGTTTCAGTACTCACTGTAGTTGGTTGTGTGCAGGGATTCATTCTAGTATGATAAGTTTCCAGTACTCACCGTAGTTGGTTGTGTGTGCAGGGATTCATTCTGGTATGATAAGTTTCCAGTACTCACTGTAGTTGGTTGTTGTGCAGGGATTCATTCTGGTATGATAAGTTTCCAGCACTCACAGTAGTTATTGTGTGTGCAGGATTCATTCTGGTATGATAAGTTTCCAGTACTCACTGTAGTTGGTTGTGTGCAGGATTCATTCTGGTATGATAAGTTTCCAGTACTCACTGTAGTTGGTTGTGTGCGCAGGATTCATTCTGGTATGATAAGCTTTCCAGTACTCACTGTAGTTGGTTGTGTGTGCAGGGATTCATTCTGGTATGATAAGTTTCCAGCACTCACCGTAGTTGGTTGTGTGCAGGGATTCATTCTAGTATGATAAGTTTCCAGTACTCACCGTAGTTGGTTGTGTGCAGGATTCATTCTGGTATGATAAGTTCCAGTACTCACCGCACTGGTTGGTGTGTGCAGGGATTCATTCTGGTATGATAAGTTTCCAGTACTCACAGTAGTTGGTTGTGTGTGCAGGGATTCATTCTGGTATGATAAGTTTCCAGTACTCACTGTAGTTGGTTGTGTGCAGGGATTCATTCTGGTATGATAAGTTTCCAGTACTCACTGTAGTTGGTTGTTAGTGCAGGGGATTCATTCTGGTATGATAAGTTTCCAGTACTCACAGTAGTTGGTTGTGTGTGCAGGGATTCATTCTGGTATGATAAGTTTCCAGTACTCACAGTAGTTGGTTGTGTGTGCAGGGATTCATTCTGGTATGATAAGTTTCCAGTACTCACTGTAGTTGGTTGTGTGTGCAGGGATTCATTCTAGTATGATAAGTTTCCAGTACTCACTGTAGTTGGTTGTGTGTGCAGGGATTCATTCTGGTATGATAAGTTTCCAGTACTCACTGTAGTTGGTTGTGTGTGCAGGGATTCATTCTGGTATGATAAGTTTCCAGTACTCACTGTAGTTGGTTGTGTGTGCAGGAATTCATTCTGGTATGATAAGTTTCCAGTACTCACTGTAGTTGGTTGTGTGTGCAGGGATTCATTCTGGTATGATGACCACAAGTTGGTTGTGTGTGCAGGATTCATTCTGGTATGATAAGTTTCCAGTACTCACAGTAGTTGGTTGTGTGTGCAGGAATTCATTCTGGTATGATAAGTTTCAGTACAGTACTTCACTGTAGTTGGTTGGTTGTGTGCAGGGATTCATTCTGGTATGATAAGTTTCCAGTACTCACTGTAGTTGGTTGTGTGTGCAGGGATTCATTCTGGTATGATAAGTTTCCAGTACTCACTGTAGTTGGTTGTGTGTGCAGGATTCATTCTGGTATGATAAGTTTCCAGTACTCACAGTAGTTGGTTGTGTGTGCAGGGATTCATTCTGGTATGATAAGTTTCCAGCACTCACTGTAGTTGGTTGTGTGTGCAGGGATTCATTCTGGTATGATAAGTTTCCAGTACTCACCGTAGTTGGTTGTGTGTGCAGGATTCATTCTGGTATGATAAGTTTCCAGTACTCACAGTAGTTGGTTGTGTGTGCAGGGATTCATTCTGGTATGATAAGTTTCCAGTACTCACTGTAGTTGGTTGTGTGTGCAGGGATTCATTCTGGTATGATAAGTTTCCAGTACTCACTGTAGTTGGTTGTGTGTGCAGGATTCATTCTGGTATGATAAGTTTCCAGTACTCACTGTAGTTGGTTGTGTGCAGGGATTCATTCTGGTATGATAAGTTTCCAGGTTTGTGTGTGCAGGGATTCATTCTGGTATGATAAGTTTCCAGTACTCACAGTTGGTTGTGTGTGCAGGGATTCATTCTGGTATGATAAGTTTCCAGTACTCACTGTAGTTGGTTGTGTGTGCAGGATTCATTCTGGTATGATAAGTTTCCAGTACTCACTGTAGTTGGTTGTGTGCAGGATTCATTCTGGTATGATAAGTTTCCAGTACTCACTGTAGTTGGTTGTGTGTGCAGGATTCATTCTGGTATGATAAGTTTCCAGTACTCACTGTAGTTGGTTGTGTGTGCAGGATTCATTCTGGTATGATAAGTTTCCAGTACTCACAGTAGTTGGTTGTGTGTGCAGGGATTCATTCTGGTATGATAAGTTTCCAGTACTCACTGTAGTTGGTTGTGTGTGCAGGGATTCATTCTGGTATGATAAGTTTCCAGTACTCACTGTAGTTGGTTGTGTGTGCAGGATTCATTCTGGTATGATAAGTTTCCAGTACTCACTGTAGTTGGTTGTGTGTGCAGGGATTCATTCTGGTATGATAAGTTTCACTCACTGTAGTTGGTTGTGTGTGTGCAGGATTCATTCTGGTATGATAAGTTTCAGTACTCACTGTAGTTGGTTGTGTGTGCAGGGATTCATTCTGGTATGATAAGTTTCCAGTACTCACTGTAGTTGGTTGTGTGTGCAGGGATTCATTCTGGTA